TAGATTGACTAAATTATATAAGACAAAATTATTGATGTATATTTAGCTTTCCTTGCTTTACTTACACTATTATTGTTAGTAGAAATATTATCTTGAAGTTTTATTTTTATATAAGGCATTGTGAAAGAATATTAATTTTTGACTAGGATTTACTTCATCTTAATTTCAGTTGCTTCTTATCCCAACAATCAGGTCATCCTTTAACAGCCAATAATTAATAGCTTCCTGATGTCATGTTAAATTTGTAGCGGGAAGGTGCTACTTTGTAGCGGATGGTGTTAAGCATTATAATGGAAAATGATTGGGAACTTTCAAATTAAATGAATTCGACATTATATATATATGAATAAATAGAAAAAGAAAAATGCGAAACGCGTCGGCTAAGATAAGTTTTCCTTTTGTCTTTATTCATATTGTCCTTTTACAGATATAATCTATTTGATATTTTTACACATAAACGAAAATGACATGTTCATCATTAACCTACATGTAACGTACAAGGAATCCTTTGTTTAATCTATTTTTCGTATTCCATTTCCTCATATCGTCTAGTTCTTATTTTTAGGACTGCTCAGTTATTTCTTGCCCATTTCCATTGAATCCAAGTACACATTTGACCCAGAGGTTGAACTCCCAACCGCTACGTCGTCAGTTACGAATCAAAGATTTAATCCAGCAGCTGATTATCCTAATTAGCTGTGGTGAACTTGGAGCCTTAAACCTAACCTGACTGTTGATTGCTTTGATTATTTTGCTGCTGTTGAAGATTTGCTGTCATTTTGTCTTTCTTTCTTTATTAGTGGTTCCCATATTGTATTTATTTCTATGCTAGGCCGACCAAGGAGGTCCTCATAATCTAAGATATACGCTGATTTTTTTCAGACGTCCTAGAAATAAAATACAATATATATGAATTTGGCAACATAGTGATTGTGAGTTCAATCTCTGGGTCAGGCAGTGTGTATTTGGAGGCAAGCAATAAGTGAGCAGTAGTAAAAATAAGAATTTGATGATATCCCTAGACATTGGTAGAGGAATAAGAACAGTCTACTATCCACATCTATTTAAATTCAGTTTTCATTGTCCTCACATTGAAAATAGTGGTTAAAAAGTTCAATCTCTTGAAATATAGGCACCAAAACTTGGACTCAGTGGAAACAGACATTTCAATAAGTGAGCAGTAGAAAAAATAAGAAAACATGAGGAATAAATAAATAAAACAGAGTCGGGAAAAGAAACTGAGATGGAATGAAAATGGGGAAAATTTGAAAATAAAAGAAAAAATTTTACGAGGACGTATTCATTTTCAGTATTGCTTGCCTGTTTCCATTATGTCCAATTACACACTGCCAAACCCAGCGATTGACCTCACAATCACTATATGACCAAGTCCTTAAACCAACACTTTTTTCACTTAAAATAGGAAATTACATCTTTCGAATTTGGAACCATAAATCTAAACTAATGCTGCTTAAATGATGTCATGTTTTTTTATAATTTTGAAACAGACTTGCTTTTCATTATTTATTTTCTTTCTTATATGGTGGTTTCTATATTGTATTCATTTCTATGCTAAGCCGACTAAAGAGGTTCTCATAATCTCGGATATACGCTCATTCTTTCAGACATCTCATTCTCCAGTGTTCTTTCTTGCCCAATAGTTTCACTTCATTCCACAGGGGGGTGATGACTAAATAGTGTAAATAAATGATAACTCTTCATCTCAGGAACTCAGACAGAAAAGGTATTTATTATTGTTATTCTAATTGCAAATATTACCTATACAAAGAGAGGGGGAGAGAGGGGAAGGATAGTGTTGTGGAGTTATTTCGTAGTGGAGGCTTGTATTTGTACTAAATCGGTCCTAAAATAGGTTCGACGTACAAAACGTTAGGAACTTGATATAATAGGTATTACGCAGAGTAATCTTGTTGAGGTCGCTGACTATTTTTGTATTCGACTAACTGTCGACTACTGTCGTCCGACATCGACTGACCCTTGTTTCTCTTACTACTCCTACTGATATTAGGTGGGGGAGTCTATTAACTATAGAATAGGTGTATTTCACCATATCAGATAGAGACACGCAGACAGAGAGTAGACAGTGATGAGAATAAAATAAAAAAGTATTTGAATAATGAAAAGTGTATCTACGTTTCTAGATGTCTTCTAACATCACAAAAAGGCAAAGGACTTGTCTACTTACGATACCACGTTGTTCCGTCTTGATAAAAAATAGCATTTTCATAAATTAAGTCCCTGAAAAAAAAAAATTTCGAAATTATTAAACCAAAAAATTAATTAATTGTTGTAACCTAGGGAAGAATAGAATAATCATACGAAGGTTGGTAATGAATGATAATACTTAGGACAAGAGCAACACATATAAGATTCGCCAGCGGCACGTAGAAGTAGTCAACTGCTAGAAGTGAGTCAAGTGAATCATACAATGAATCTCCGACTGCAGGATATCTACCAACCGCCCCTTGCGGTCAGATGTGGCACAAAACCGAATTTAATGTGTGGTATCCGAGCCCATAAGTTCGGCCAAAAATTCCCCGTAGACCATGTATAAAACGAGGTCGAGTGGCTGTTTCTCTCGATGAGACTCTGCTCTTAGACATAGCCGCGTCTGGGGATCCTCTCTGCCCGGAGGTAGAGAGTTTGACCAGCACAGCTGGAGACGAATCTCCAACTCTAGACCACGTACAGTATTCCCTACTGTATTTATGGGAATGGGGACATGTCCATTATCGTCCGTAGGTATGCTACAACATTAATTCAGTCATTATAATTCACAAAGGTTTCATAAGCGTTATCATCAGTCTTATTAATGCGCCATGCAAAAATGCATAGCCAATGGCGGTAACTATGTGGAACAATAAAATTTTGTAGTTGAAAACTTGATCTATCAAAAATGAGGCATTACTTTCGGATCGTCTTTAGTATATACACCCTTGTGCAAATTAATTGAAACAACCGCTTTTTTTTTTTTTTTTCAAAACAGTACATTCAGTTTTAGACCCACTGGAGTGACAGGGATATAATGATTTTTTTTTTATATTCAGATTAGGTCATTTGCAGTGGTGTGCAGTAATATGAATCTATTTTGGAGGGTATGATGAAATTTGTTAAAAACCTTGAAAAATTATGTCATCCGTGATTGCATCATATTTTCATCACACACAGACACTATTGTCTCGACTGTCGATTAGTTTTCCTAAAGCCATTGTCTGCGATGGACGTTACTCCAAGGAAGCGTACGAAAATTGTAACGCTGCACAAACAGAATCGCAAGCCTTAGCAGTGAGCAAATCAAAGTACTATCGACTGGCTAGGAAACTCTCCTGATTTAAATCCAGTCGAGAATCTGTGGTCAATCTGCAAGGAAATACTTCGTGGAATAGATATACGAAGTATTAACATATGCACTGGGCCATGTTTGATTGGAAAAATACGAAAAAAAAAGTATATAATAATGGAATTATTCGTTTTGTTTCAATTTGCACAAGGGTGTATTTCAAATCAGAGACGTTTCATATATCACTATTTCATGCAGTTGTGACACTATGATAAGGACCCTCACATAGAAGAGGATATTGTGTGATTTTATTTTAATTATTTATTTAAATTGTTTCGCTATTTTTAATTGATTGGTGAAAAAATTCCTATTTCAATGGGTTATTTAGAACCGAATAGGACTTGTAAAATAAATAAATTTAAACGTTGTTTTAATATTTTGCAACAATCCGGACATTGAGGGTTTCGGTTGCAAATTTCTATATTAACGATCATTTTTCTGAATAAAATTTGTGTTCTGGATAAGCTTTTTGTTAATTTTGACTCTACAAATTAAATTTTCTCGTTACTGGATGAAAACAGAAAAAATAATTTATTTCAAATGTCGCCCATTATTTTACTTTCCGCATTATCATGGTGAAATTGGTAGAAAGTTGGTAGAAGGAAGATTTGAAAGGAAGAGCTGATCTGTTAGACTGACATACCAGTTGTCCCAAGTGCGGTCTATCTAACCAGATCGTGCAAGCGAAGCTCTGAATTAAACAGCTAAATATATTAGAAATGCGATCTGAGCGTTCCTTTCTTAACGTGGTTTTAGCTAGAAAACAATTTACGTGTTTTAAATCATTTCCCAATTTTCTATGCATACCGACATTAAAAATAAAGATGCAACATTAGTGTAGTCACTGTCTGGACGATGGAAATCTAATTTCAAAAATTGTATGTTTACACATTGAGGGATGATAGATTAATAAAATTTTTATGTTTGATTGACATTTTGGGGATGCATCAAAAAGATATATATCCATCTAAATTTTAAAAGAAGACATTTTTTGTTGAACCATCCTGAAAAAAAAATTATATGGAGGATTATAAATTCTGGTCGTAACATTAAACAGACTTGAGCAAGAAAGAAAGAAACGAAAATACAAACTGGTCAGTATTTCTTTTATCATAGTTTCAGTTGCGTTTTGTCCGAAATCTCCAATTCTTATTTTATGACCGTTTGTCATCAGCATCAATAGAACATAAAGAATGAAGCTCCATCAAATATATATAATCTATGTTTTGAAAGTTTGTTTTTTTATGTTTAAGAATTTTGAAAGTACTTCGATAAAAAGGCCAATTGTTAGGAAAAAGACATTCAAATAGACGCAATATATATTCATAAAATGTATTTTTCCCAAGAAAATATATCAAATAATTAATAGATCATAATTATTTCATAATATATATATATATATATATATATATATATAAATATATATATATATATATATAAAATAAAAGAACAGTGAGATATATAATAATTGGTGTTCTTATTGATATTTTTATTTTTTTTTACAAAACAGTGCTCAATGTAAATTTACAGAGCATAAATATTATAAATTAACTGATTTAAAAATATTTTTCGCTACACAGTAATAATAATAATGTTTTTAAAAATGGAACCTAAAAACTTCAAATTTAATTATATAATTAAATTAAAAGCATTAGTTCGTTTCATCTTCAAGCGAATTTGGAATAACTTTTTTTTTAAATTTACTGAGTTTTAAACGCACATATAAATTCATAATTTACTGTTTCCAAGGATACAGAGAAATCCAATCATTAGACAGGATTGGTAGCGTGTTCATTTTATTAACTATTGTTGTATCAATTATGAGTTACGTTTGAAAAAGAGGTTAAGTCTAGGGGAGGTAGGGTGTATTTTTCAACGAAATTTGACATCCGTTAAAAATGTCGTCTGTATTTTTTTTTTTTTTTTTTAACGGCAAAAAATTTTTTAAACATTTTTCAATTTACCTATATACTTAAAGATTCTATCTAAAAGGTGTTTGAGTTTATAATATTTTTATTTATACAAAAATTTATATATAAAGTGATAGAAAGCTTAAATTAAATTTATTTTTGTACAGATAGTAAAAAAATGGAAAAAAAGATTTATAGGGGATTAAATAGTGCATGAGTAATTATTTAAATAAAAGTGAGGGCCTGTGGGCACGTTGAAATGATCGTGTTAATAATTAATATATTTAAAAATATAAAATAATTTGTGTATTTTCTGAAAAAAATGGAACGTCCAAAACCTACCCATCCAATAGGTTATTAGAGAAAAAGTGATAAATTAAAATAGATTCCATCCTTTTTATAGTCTAAAAATAGAACACTATCAGAAATGAAGCGAAGTCCATTGACCGACAAATTGGGATAATCCTAAAAACTGATGGATTTTTTTTCCGTATATTGATGTAAAATCTTTTTTTTGCTTAAAGTTGATATAATTTACCTTGTAAATAATATTATATATATATATATATATATATATATATAATATTTATAAATTTATAAATATTTTTTTAAAAATTTTATAAAACATATGTTTCTCTAAAAAACAAAAAAAATTTGTTATCAAGCCCTTGATGATGTATGAATGCCATTCAACAAAAATATTAAAATAAATAAATATTCACACCAAAACATGTTGAAACAAAATGCTATTATTTTTAGTGATTTTATAAATAATTTTTTTAAAATTAAAAACAACTATATCTATCTCTACTTTATATTGAGCAAATTTTAAGAATAGTATTTGTTGGTTATTGGAATTTAAAAATCCGTATATACCAATTATATACTTAAAATATATTTATATATATATATATATATATATATATATATATATATATGTTGTGGATTCCAGATGAAATTCGGTAAAAATGAATGACAAACGCAGGAATGAAATATAAAAAATAAATGTATTTACACAATAATACAATTGGTAATACGGTTAGTAAATCCAGAAACGTAATATTAGTAGCAATAATAATATATATAGTCTATAAATTCAGTGAACGAAGTAGTACTTCCTTAGAGTCTACGTGCTTGTAATTGTGACTTCTACAAGCGGTTACCTCACACTATTACTCTACCTCCAACTTCAGTCACAATCCTTGTTCTGACTCTATTTACTCTCAGTCTGGGTATTTAACGGCAGCAGTCCATGTACACACTGGTCGAGTCCACTTGTATGAAAAAGGGTGGAAAATTATAACAATATATATATATATATATATATATATATTATTTATATTATGGATGAAATTTATTATATAGGGATATTTTTGTGTCAAGCAAGACAAAACTCTGACAAAGGATTCTTTTCACAATTCCATGTGGAACCCATTTTCCTTGGTTCTGAATTGTTGCCCTGAATCAAGGAAATAGACTTTGATTAAATGCGCAGACACTTAGTCAAAATAGGGGGATTTCACTTCAAAGACACTTCTAAGATTTCTTTAACAACGTGTAAAAAATAATGCTGAAATCTTATACATGAAAGAAATAAAAAAAAATATACTGATTGAAAACTCGTACCTTTAGGATCTGTTCTTTTTGGCGCGCTGACACAGACATCTAAAAAGAAAATTTTATCATACATATAAATATTTTAATGTATTTTCTGTCTATACGTCATTTTTATAGATACAAATATTGAAGTAAATGCTCTGTTTATGATAAACAGTATTAACAACATTACCGGCCTGAATATCCAAGAAATTTCATAAAAAATGTATGTCCTCCAACAAGAATCGAAAACCTGTAGAAATTACATGAAACTGTCATATATATACGTGCTATATCATCTGTAAATACAATTAATTTATATTCAAAGCTCAGGGGAAAGCTTAAACAAATCAATTATCTGAATTAAATTAAATATTGACAATTATATTTTAAATATAATTTTATGTTTTATATATATATATATATATATATATATATATAAGACTAAAATAATTTTTCAGTAGAATGTTGGCATTTACATGATTGATTGTATTTAAACAAAAAAATTATAGGAAACAGCCCGCGATGACATATTTTTTTTTCACCGATTAATCAAGTGATAAAAAAAATAACTGCCGGGTTTTAGATGCAAAGAATATTGATTTTTTCTGAAAATCTCCTATCTGTCCAGACGCAGGAGACTGCGAGTCCAGTTATTGTATCCACACACGCACATACACATTTCCTAATTTCCATCAATGACCTTCCTGAGGACATCACTTCTCAACTCGTTATCTATTCAGATGATAAAACTATTTACTCATGGTTTAATAGTAAGTCTATTCGGTTCAAAAGGTCAAATTGGCAGCTGATCTCAAAAATGATTTACAATCTGTTGTTAAATGGGGCAAGGAATGGCTTGTTATTTTTAACGCCTCTAAAACGAAACTGCTTTCTTTTAATCCTCTGAAAGAACACCTTTTATCGTCCATCAGCATGGCTGATGCTATCCTTCATGAAAGTGATTCATTGCGTCTTCTTGGGCTAACGTTTTCAGCTGACATGAAGTAAAAAGACTATATAGAATCAATTACTCGAGGTCCTAATAGAAAATTTGGTTTACTATGTCGTGCTAGACAATTCATTTTCCGCCATATTTATAAGTGTTGTGGATTCCGAGATGAAATTCGGTCTCCAATGAATGACAAACGCAAGAAATAAAGATAAGAAATTAACTGTATTTACACAATAATTCAATTCTGTTAAAATCCAGGAACGCGGTTATTCGTAATAATAATAATAATAATAATAATTTTGAATAATAATATATATATATATATATATATATATATATATATATATATATATATATATATATGTTATATAACGGATATATAAGTACGGATATTATTTTAATATATAAGAGAGACCCGGATATAAGAGAAACCCGGATAAGAGAAAATTAGAGCCTGTGTTAATGTATATAAAATAGACAAAACCTGGATATAAGAGAAACCCCGGATATAAGAGACTTCTTCTCCGGTCCCGACAACTCTCTTATATCCGGGTTACACTGTATATATATACAGTCCCGAAGTAAGACTTCCTTAGAGTCTATGTGCTTTTAACTGATTTCTACAAACAGTTACCTCACACTATTACTCTACCTCCATCTCAATCACAATCTCTGTCTTCCCTGTATACTGACTGACTCTGGGTATTTAAAAAGCAGTCCCAGTATAAATTTCTGGTCGAGTCCACTTATATAAAAAAAGGGTGGACCCCATAACAATAAGTTATTTTATCATTCGTCCATGTAAATGAATAATTGCTGCAACGTCTGCTCGTGGTTTCTCCGCTATGTATTTAGAGATTCTTGATAAAATCCAAAGAAGAATCTGCAATGTTATTGGTCCTGACCTGACATCTCGGCTCCAGACTCTTTCCCACCGGCCTTTTAGCTTCCTATTTCCCCTGCATTTTTTAAATAAAAACTTTCATGGTAATTAGAGAATTATTTTTTCTATATCAACATCCGATGTATTAACTGTTAATATTATAATAAAAAGAAACTATTGCTTTGGATATCTAGAAGGCATTAACCAGGTATTGAACTCACACTCTTTGGGTCCTGTCACTGGATCTAACTAACGCCTTTATCCACTGTGTCCTTGGTTAATACCTGGTTAAGGCGGTGAAGAACTTGGAGAGGGGAATTAACAAGAGATAACTGATAAATGACATCTATTAGACATGACAATGGAACTAGCAAACAGCTTACCTGATAAGTTAGCGAAATAAAAGGGTTCAATTCGACATATAAACAATATATATATATATATATATATATATATATACAAGTATATAATTGGTATATACGGAATGAATTCCAGTAACCAACAATTACTATTCTTAAAAGAGTGCTCAATACAAAGTAGAGCAGATATAATTATTTAAAAAAAAAAAAAAATTATAATATAAATATGTTATAAAAATCACTACAAAAATAGCCATTTTGTTTCAACACCCTGGTGTCTTATCAAATGATGATGTTGAATATTTTTGGTTAATCAGTTACCAAAACTGTGCATTCATATAAATTATTTTAAATACATATCAAGGCTATAATTGATATTATAGCGACAAATTTAGTTGTGTGTGCACAAAACATACATTGTTTCCCAAATCTCAAGGTTCAGTTATAGGGACGAGGTTGAGGCACAAGTCAGCTGACAAAATACAAAACCTCTTTACGGCATGTTATTTCTTTTCACGTTGAAATGAAAAAGATGATTGATGCAGTCTATCGGAAATGTTCGATTGGAAGCAGCTTGCGTCATGGATGATTTGTAATATTTAAGATTTAATGAATTTAGTTTGAAGTGCAAACATCTCTATTTACAAAAATAGTCATTTTAAAATAATGTCTTGCAAACGCTTTTGGATGATGACATCACTCAATAAACTTTGAAAATTAATGAAAAATAATTATTTGTCGATCAATGAACTTTTTAAGACATTCAGAAAGTATTTGCACTGAATGTGTTCTCTTCCATATCTTTTTACATAAATGCAAATGTTCCCAAGACTTCTATCCTTTTAATTTAATTTAATGTTACACATTTGAACTAGTTTATCTACAACACTTGTATATCGTTATAATGGGGCCTCACATCAGTGAGGAGGGGCGGTGTGCAAAATTTTATTTGAGAAGAACCTTTAATAAACATTCACATTCTCTCTTGATGACCCCAGTTTAAATATTTTTTGAGAGGAACCCATCAAAATTCAGTATGAGTAGAGAAATGCCGTAGAGAATTTTCGGTGGAAGATTGTCATTGGCATGAGGGGCATTACACATTGGTCAGTAATTTCCTTCTTTCATCTACATTGTTTCTAATTTTCAACAATGACCTAAATGATGTCATCAGATCTCAACTCATTATCTATGCTAATGACACAACTATTTACTTCTGGCTTAATAGTAAATCTGATCGATTTGATAAGGTCAAAAAAATGACCTACAATCTTTTTTTTGTTAACTGGGGGCAAGGAATTCATTGTTAATTCAAATAAATTTCAAAATGAAATTGTTCTCTTTTAATCGTCTGAGAGAAATCTTTTTTACCCTTTATCATCATGGCTGATCCTAACCTCCAGGCTCATGGAATGTTCTCGAGCTAACAATATCTTACGTATTTATAAGTCTATCATTCGTCCATGCTTTGAATATTGCTGCCACATATGGCCTGATTCTCCTGCTGTATATTTAAAGATTCTTGATAAAATCCAAAGAAGAATCTGCAATTCATTAGTCCTGACTTGCCATCTCGACTTCAGTCATTTTCTCACCGCAGTAATATAGCTTCCCTGTGCCTTTTCTTTAAATAGTTTCATGGTAATTGCTCTGATGAACGTTCTTCCATGGTACCTAGATTTTAAGAATTTAAACGCAGTACTAGATTGGCGGGAAGGTCTCATCATTTTACAGATTAAATTGTTAGCTGCAACCGTAAGTTCTATGCTAATAGCTTTTTTTCGTACTTATCGCTTGTGAAGCTCTCTTCCAAACTCTTGCTTTCCAGTCAAATTTGATCTTCAAAAATTGAAATGCAATGTCAAGTGTTACCTTCAGTCTTCTTAATTCTTGATCTTTTATTGTCCTCTCTCCTTAATAGTGTTTTTCTTTTTATCATAATCTTTAACACTGTGTAACCCGTTCCACCTAAGTGGCTTTATCAGCAATTAAACTTAATTTAGGTTGGCGAAAATTCGCATGCTTTCGTACAGTTGTAAAATCACTTATTCCTTGACTTGCTTCGTACTTTAGATACTTGTACAGTTTTTACCACTGGCAGAACTATGAGTTCAAGCCTAGGCAAGAGGCAGAATTTTAAACGCTGATTTTCAAAGCATGATTTCTGATAACGAGGCAAATCATATTAAATAATTGATTTTTAGGGACTAAACGAAACGAATACATACCTGTCACGTCGTTTGTCGTGTTGCATCCATAGAAGTTAAGTTTCATTAACAAGTGTGCGTCAGGGTTTCCAGTGTGCTCAACAACATAGAATCGAACATACCTAGCGGCCCGGGTTCGAGTTACAGTATTGTACAATAACACCGTGTTATGACCAGAGTTCACTTTGATCTGAAAAATTGGAAGAATTACTTTCATTTTTAACTCAAAATTGATCGCTGCATTTAAGTATTGCATTAATATTTAAGCTTATCTTTAATTTATTTGCTGCCATTTAATTTAAAGACAATTTGATGTACGTAGGTCCTTACTTTCCGTACAAACTATTATTTTTATTTCTTGGGTGATTTTCGATGAATTCTGCAATTAATTTCGATTATTCCCAATTTTATTTCCAAGTGATAAAAAGTGTTATAATACAAAAAAAAAAAAATTGTCACAAAAAATCACGTAAAAAATCGCCGAAAACAATCACAGTAATGAAAACTTTGGACCGATTTTTCCGTTACCGAATCTTCCGTTGTCGAAAAAAGAGCGAACTCAATTTTTTCTTTCTATTCCTACATAGGACTACTATTTGAAGTATAGTATTGAAATAATATCAATGCCTGAAGTCGCTCGTCTGTCGAGAAGAGGGTAATGCCCGTAAGCTAAATAACGTTATGTACTCATCTATATATACACATACAATTTCCATCCTTGCCGATCAGACCCCGAACTACCGCCAGTCACGATGAATGGATGTCCCCTCGAGGTAGCACCGTGATTGAGAGAATATTGGGCCTCAAACTCACACCCGACCTCAAGTGGAACTCTTTTATACGATCCATAGCTAAAGATGCAGGTAAAATGTTTGGCTCTACAATCTTCATCTGTTTAAGTCTACAGTTAACCATTATCTTCCCCTCTTATCTATATAAAGCGTTTGATAAGGTATGACATAAAGAACTATTTGAACTGCTAGGGAAGCTTGATTTATTTGGGAAAGATATTAGAATAATCCAGAACCTATATTGGCAGCAAACAGCTTGCGTACGGATAGGAAATGAATACATTAAATGTACATAGCTAGAAAGGATTATAGGACAAAGATACGTTTCCTAACCACCAGACATTTTCAACGTTTTGAAAGAACGTTTTGAGAGAATTAGAAGTCCTCGGAAGATTCATTATTGGCGACCACAATCTTAACAACATTAGATATGCAGATGACACAGTATTAACGCAGAAACTAAAATGACTTCTATAGAAGCTAGTGAAGAAAAGAATAAATATCAGACCGGAAATAGTACGGGTTCGTTTAAGACATTGGAACAGGGAATGCGAATACCCTTAGGAAAGGTATGAACCCACTTCTTTCCCCCCCAAGTATGGGTTAATTAGTAAGAATTGTATCAATAAAACATTATTATCTGCCAAAAAAATCTGGTAATCTAAAACTATTTTCTGCCTTTAAATAATCCTCAAAAGATTGATAAGCCGTAGAAAACGAATCAATCAATCAATCCAAAGAATGTGAACCCCTTCGGACAATCAGCCTAATAAGCCATGTAACAAAATGATTAATAGAGGGTGTAGAAGAATCAGACCGGAAATAGGACGAGACCAGTGCGGGTTCGTAAACGATATAGGAACAAGGAATGATATCAGAAGGAGCAATACAAAGGTAGAAAGATGGATACCTCTATTTTATAGATTGTGTAAAAGCGTTTGATAAGGCACGACACAAAGAACTATTTGAACTGCTAGGGAAGCTTGATTTATTTGAGAAAGATATTAGAATATTCCAGAACCTATACTGGCAGCAAACAGCTTGCGTACGGATAGGACATAAGTTCAGTAAATATACAAAACTGGAAAGGATTGTAAGATAATGATGCGTTTCCTAACCACCCGACCTTTTTTCAACCTATACAGCGAGATCGTTCTGAGAGAATTAGAAGGCCTCGGAAGATTCATTATTGGCGACCACAATCTTAACAACATTAGATATGCAGATGACACAGTATTGATACGTCCTTGGTATGACGATAAACTACATCTGCGTCCTAAAAAAAAAGAACGAAAATAACATCCAGCAACAAGGCCTCTGATTTTTTTTTTGAGGAGCGTGGAACCACCTCTTAATTACTGGTGTTCTCAGGTCCACCCTGACCTGGGGTGGTAGCACCTGTTAGGGTCCCAGCTATGAGCGAATAGTTAACCCTGAAACTGAAGCATTATGAAAGTCTAAAAATAGGTTTTAATGCCAGAAATACTTTGTAAAAAATTATTACCAGAAATAAATTTTTGAAGAAAACAAACTATTTCCAGCAATATATTAAAAAAAAATATTACCAGCAATAAGATTTGAAAAAAAATATCACCAGCAATACTTGATTTAAAATATTACCAGCAATACTTGATTTAAAATATTACCAGCGGTACATTTTTGAGGAAAAAAAAATATTATCAGAAATAGATTTTTGACAAAACAAAATATTACCAGGAAAAAAAGTTGTCGGCATTAAATAACCCATTGAGATTGATATGCCGTAAAACAAACCAAACCAAACTGAACCAAACCCGCTTGATCATGGCTGTTATCTTTTTCTTAAAATGAATATAGTGAAAAATCAGTAAGCATTGTATTTGAATAATGCAAACTGAATTAATGTGCAGAATACAGAAAGGGTTGAATGCTTGAAATGGCGGTCAGGTATAACATTTCACTTAGCGACCAGCTCAAATAGCGACCAGGTCGTTAGAACGAATACAAGTGAGAAGTAACTGTACTGGGAAAATAAAAAAAATGATATAATGTATTTTGTATTATTTGGTATATTATCCAAATATTAATCTACGTCCAGGCTTTTTACCCTCTTTCACCTTTCCTAACAGAATTACAACTCTCCCAAACAAGCGTACACAACTGTATCAAGTAATCAAAAGAAAATGGTTGAATCCGTCAACACAACAATAAAAACAATATTTCCACACGTGACAGCACTTGACGTAATTTCAGTTAACAGTATGAAAATAGCGTTCTCTAAATTCTTCCAGTTGCTAAGGACATTTTGTTTTGTTATTATTAGTTATTTTGTTTAATAAATTGCTTTAGCGTTCATTAAAACGTGAATAGTAGATTTATTGAAACAAAGCAAGTTCAGTTGACCATTGATGACAATTCCAGAAACTATAAACATTTTTCTTTTTGCTGTCCTCTGCCAACCGCAATGATGGAGAAAGCGTTACCACGAACCATCGCCAGTGAGACACGCTGCAAGAGCCACTCCGTTTCGCGAGGCTCGTCCTTTAATTGAGACGCCATCCCGCCAATCCTCCGAAGGAACGCCATCGAACGAGGGCCAATAACCCCTGAAGTCCCCACTGCCACAGGAGTAAAAAAAAATCTATCAGAAAGAGAAGAATATTTAACTATTTTTTTCATCTCTGCATCCCGGGGGACGGATCCTGGCTCAACAGCGGAACTGATCAAATTACCGGCCGAAAATGTATCCGCACAGGTCGCATCATAAATCAACGACTTACCCATTTTAATAAATTCATTTCGTTTTTTGCTTTGAAAAAGTCCATGTCCGTGTATAGTTTCTCCTTTTCCCTTAGCGAGAGAGCTTCTTGATTTTGTCCAAATGGGCAGAATACAGCGGCCTCTCATAAGAAAGAAGGGTTGGACAGGCCCAACTAACATCAGTTAAAATTTAGTTTATTTTTGTGTTTATATTTTAGTCAATTTTTGGGGTTCATTCCACGCCTCTTATTTTTCATCACAGATTTTTAAGTATTTATTATCATTAAATTTTATGGCACGGGCGCGTTTTGTAGGAAACATAAAATGAGAGGATGCGGTATTATTCATTTATGGAGGATTGATTGGTGATAGACGAGTTTTTGTGGTGAATGGGCAAATTGTAATGTTTGAATGGGTCGTGAATCAGATTAGCTAGGTGTAAGATAGTTAGTGAAACCAGCCTCAAGTCCTCCCCTTCATCGGCCTTTGTGCCATAATTGTATTTATTACAATAAATACCACCCACATTGGAAGAAACGCGTCGGGTTTTCCTATTGTCTTTTACATTTATAAATAAGGTATTTTATAAACAAAACCATTTCTCATTTATTTTTACAAAGAATATGCGTCCAGGTGAGATTACATTGACAAGTATATAACGTCCTTTTAAAAGAATTAGGATTTTAAAGAATATTTCTTAAATAGTATAATTTAGCTAAAATTCCCCATAATCTATATTACGCTTTTGTGATGAATTCTTAACATAATCTCAGACATCTTTCTAAGGTGACGTCTTACTGTTTCACGACTACTTGGCTTACGACCAGCTATAAAATACAATTATGTACGTTTTACGAAAAATTTCACCGTGATTATTTTCTCTCTCTTCAAAATGGATTAAAATAGATCAAATGAATGGATAAATATTTAATTATGTAGAAATAGAGGTCAGGCATTCTCACTTAACGACCCACTCGTTTAGCGACCAGGTCGTTACAAGTATATAACGTCCTCTTCAAAGCATTGGGATTATCGACCGCTTGGTTTACGACTTTACGCAAAATTTGACTGTGATTATTTTCTCTTCAAAATGGATTAAAATAGATCAAATGAATGAATAAAAACCGAATTAATGTATAGAATAGAGCGCTGATTTTCTAATGTGCTTATTATGTTTTTTTTTATGTCCCGTGACCCGTAGGGGCACCAGATGAACTGTAGCTGAAGTAGAAGTGGGGTTTGTTGGGCAAGATATCCTGACGGAGCCCATCCCTCACCAGGTTGGTTTGAATCGTAGACCGATTGTCACCCAACTCTATGGAATCCACTCTGTCCTGCTGAAAAAACCCATAATTGTTAATAAAAAAAAAAAAGAATTCAATTCATTTTTCATGGGTATTAGAACGTTTTAAACATAATGGATTTTTGGAATTCGAACTCGGCTCTACCGAATCCGAGTCGCTATCCATTACTCCACTGTAATCCATTACTGTGCAGGCATTTAGAAACCAATTAGAAATGGTAAACTTCATGAGATTAAAGCTATCTGATTTTGACTAATAGACATAATGACATTTGCAAAATGCTTAGGGTTAACGGACAGCACCAACTTCTCACTTATCGAACAGCTCGTTTAACGACCAGGTCGTTGTAACGAGACATGATCAAACTTCTAAGGAGGGGGTGTATATTCTTTAATAATTGGAGTTAGGTGAGGAAAAAAGATTTACGTCTTTATCATTTTGAAACGCGTCTTTGAACCGGGGCTTAAGTCGTTGCAGGCAAATCAGTTAAACAGATGTTAATATTATTTAAAATTTCCATATTGTTTCATAGAATCTAGACGAATGATTTACCTTGTCTCCTGGTACCCAGCTGATGCCGTCATCACTGTAGGCAAGGTTGAACAACAACACATCTCCTTCCGACGGCGTTTGACGCATAATGGAGACTCTTTCCACTCGGACTTTGTTGCCGAAATAAATCTGAAGGTAGCGGTTGGAAGAGAATTCTCCAGCTCGGATAAAAGGTTCAAAGACTGAAAAAAACAAAATGGACAGAAATTTTTTTTCTTTTTTCAAATTATATATATATATATATATATATATATATATATATATATATATATATATATAAAAGTGTATATAAATATAAATAAATATATATATGTATAATTATTTATATATTTGTTAATGAATTACGATCCACCTAATTTATATAGTGGTATACGACCGATATAAATATGGGTTGGTACCGGAAGACGAGGGAGAAGTAAGAAGAGATCCAATCGAGAACTCTGCCCGACTGCGATTAAGTCAACCCATTCTGCAGGAACAGTCTTCCCAAGAATATACCAAAACTAACTGTAAATATTTGTACCTTTTCCTTGTTTCAATACATTTTGTTTACGTACATTTTGTGTTGTTATTATTATTATTCCATGCTTTCACAATTCAAATTAATATTATATGCTCGGTACTTATTAGAATTTCAACATTTCAACATACAAATGCGTATGTATAGACAAAACACCACCCGTATACATACATGTGTCATAGCCGAAACTGCCCACATCTGTTTATATATGTATGAGTCCCGACGGACGACCAAGTATGTATATGTGTCTGCATACATCGATGTTTGCGTTGTACGATGAATGACAAAACGACGAAATTTTTCCCCACCACTTCCACAATAACACCAATACACGCAATCTACATAAACCCAAATTTTTTAAAACATTAATCAGTTTGTCTGACGATCGCTAAAGCGTGAAACCCAGGGTCACAAACTCACATCTATCCAACCAAATATATATATATATATATATATATATATATATATATATATATATATATATATATATATTATATATATAAAGGCACACAAATTTTATATTAATGCATGTTTTATTGAATAAATATAAAAGTTTTATATCTATTTATTTTGAGTCAAAGTTCCTAAAATAAGTTCCTGATGGAAATAACATTATCATGGAAAAGACGAAAGGAAATCAGGTTTAGATACATGTTTAAATCCTTTTTAAGTTTTTTTGCATAAACCAATTACATTTCAATATATCAATAATAATAGAAATTTTTTGGGTTTTATTTGAAAAAATTTCAAAGCAACGAAAATTCGTGAAAACGAGACGCGGATAAAAAAAAATCAATAAAATACAAAGAAATTAATAAATTGGATATATATTTATAATGTGAAATATCCATATAAAACCACTCGCATGAGAAAAAAAAAAAATTTTTTTCAAACAATATAAAAAACAGACTAATATATTAATATTTCGTCCGTGTATTGTTTGATATATTTAAATATAATATCAATGTTTTGATAATGGTTTATAAAAAGAACAATATGAAGGAACTTACTTAAAATAAATAGACAAAACTTTATATATTATAAATATATATATATATATATATATATATATATATATATATATATATATAGGGACCTTATTTTTAAAACATCTTTCGTTAAAAAAACAGATTTTGAAAATTTAATTCATTTTATTTAGTTTTTCCAGCGTTCTTACATTTGTTCTTTTGGCATGAAAAAAAAAAAATTTTAATAAATTCTCCAGAAAAAAAAAAATTTTTAGCCATTTTTTTTATAAATAAGCCATTTGAAAAAAATTTATTTTTAGATGTTGTTAAAAACAAAATGTTTTGACTGTTTAATATGTATTTATTTAAAGAATAATTTTAAAAACTCATAGGAGCGCTTATTCAGTGTTGAGTAAATTGGCTGCAAAAATTCTTTTTTAAACATTTCTAAAGAAAAAAAATTATTCAAAAAATATTCCGAATGTTATGTTTAATTTGAAGTTGAAAATAGAGATGTTTTTAATATAAAAGTGTCTCTTTTATAGCGAGAAAAGTCATCATAATTTGATGTCTGTAGAATTTTTAATATTTTTAACAAGAATTTTTAAATAATGATATATATAAATTGTTATAGATAGAAATTTTTTTTATACCATTTTAAATCTGATAGTGTTTGAATATAAGGCATCTATTATATATATTCAAAATTGGTAATTGATTTATGACAATAAAACAAATATATCTTTCAAATTTAAAAGTGAATTTAGAAATTGATACAATGTATTTTCAAAAATAGTTTAGATTTGATGGGGTTATTTAATTAGTCAAAAATGAACAAGGTTTGGTTTTTTTCATTTTTTGTATATATGTTATAAGTTATACATGTTTTTCGGGAAATATGGAAAAATATATATATAATTTATATGAATTCAAAATTATAAAATAAACATGTTATATTTTTTCGTTAAAAATAAATAATTATATTTTTTTGTCAGAAAAATTGAGCAATTTAAAGAATTCATTATAAAATTTTGCGGTGTTATTTAAAAATTTATTATATATATATAAATATATATATATATATATATATATATATATTATTAAAACAAGGCCCCAGACTCAGGACGGAAAGAGTTGGATGAGTCTAATGTGTTTTTGAAGGTACGGTAGCTTCAGAAAACCTACTTTGATCATTCTGATAAAAAAATGTCAAAATTTTTCTTTTGAGGGCCTATGAAACTCAACATGGATTACATGAAGTTTGAAGATGAATGGTCATGACTGTCAAAAAATTTCTGCAACGACATTCACCTCTTACATCTTATATCAAAATTCCAGACTGCAGCCCCTTTGATTAAATACAATGGGGCGCATTTGATCATGAGAAACCAATAAATTTTTTTGTAATTAAAAAAATGAAATGAAAGCAAGGATATTTGGCAGTATTCATAACTTAATAAGGAGACCGTCAGAAAGAATATACAGGAGATTTGAAGTCATTGATAATTATGGTTAAAGCCAATGACGATTTTAAGGAATAAATTTACTCATTAAGTATTTCAAGATATTTTATATATATATATATAAATATATGTGTTTAAATGAGTTATCAGTGTTATTTTCATTTTTTCGTCATTTGGACGACAATTTGTCCATCGCAAATATTACTATTTGCACTATGGGCCAGATGTCAGACGAATTAAAACTGATAGCAGACATTTTAATAGGTATATTATAAATCGATCAGCAGGTTATTATATATAAATATATATATTAAGAAATAAAAAAGGTTATTTCCAACACTTTCTAAATTTGGTTTAATTCAGTGAAAAATTTCTATAGACTGGCTAAAATTAACCAAAACTTATAAGGCCCAGAATGTATATTTATTCATATTATGTTAAAAAGAAAAGATGGATATATATACCTTATATAATGTAGGTATTTGAGGTGAAAGTGAATATAACGAACTTTCTGAAATTTGGATTTAAATTCAATCTCCATTTTCTCATTCACGAATGATCAAATTATCCAACATTTACCGCCTGATGTTCCAAATTTTTTACAACATCTAGTATCACTACAAATGGCCAATATATATATATATATATATATATATATATATATATATATATATATATATATATATAATGTTAACAAAAAATAATACAATTTTAGATTTAGAAATGATTAAAGATATCTTACTGGAATTCTTTGAAGTTTTTATAACACTGTTGAACGCTTTTTGATCAATAAAAATGAATAATTACTTTCAAGCTTAAAAAAAGAATCGTGATGAAATTGATCATAAACGAAAATGACATGTTCATCATTAATTAATCATAGATATAAGGATGAAGGTTTTCATGAAGGATTTATATATTATATATATAAATATATATATATATATATATATTATAAATAGGATCATTTTCCAATTATTCAAAATTACAGGTTTCGCCCTCTCTAACCTTTAAATTTTCCTGTTCCGGAGTAACATTTGTCCATTTCTGTTTCATGTACGATTTCATTTTCAAGTCTTTTTTCACTGCTCTTTGGACTGTCATAGCTGAAACTCCTCTCTCACGTGCCAAACGTCGTATGGATTGGGTTGGATCTTTTCTAATTGATCTCTTTAGCTGAAGTTGAAACGATAATCTCTCTTGCTGTTGTGACCTCCTGATCCTGTTTTCCTCGCTACTGTTCTATCTCTTTTTCAAATTTATTCACCGTTCTCTTGATGGTTCTTGAATGGACTTTGAAGATGGGAGCCAGAGTAGGAATGTTGGTACCATTATTGAAGGCCTGAATTTTTTTGTTCCTCTCACCATTGCTTAGTTGAGAAGACAGTGGGATTGACATAAAACGATTTTAAGACAATTTTCAAAATAAAAAAAACATATGTGACGACAAAATGGAGTCAAGATGGCTAAACGTCTTATCTTAAAAACTGGAAAAAATAAAATATCAATTAGTTGTAATTTTTAGATATAAAAAAATAAAAGTATTTATTGAGGTGGTGTTAAAGCGGCAACAGACAATTGAATTCAACGCAATCTTCAGGTCATCTTCAGGGTATAAAAATGAAACTAGCACATATAGATCTGTACCTACTAAAAACAACGTTTATAGTATTGCGCAATAATATAAATATATATATATATATATATATATATATATATATATATATATATATATATAGAGAGAGAGAGAGAGAGAGAGAGAGAGAGATGTTATTGAAAGTTCTTAGAAAATAGCATACTTTCATGTCTTTTTTACAAGTTTCTACCCGAGAACAAACGAATTATTCAACAACAGAAGCATTTCATACAAAGACTTATAGACGTATATTTATAAATAAACAGAACTGCTTAAATATACTGTTTGAATCATTTTCTTCTCTTCCACTCAGAGAATTCATTAAATAGTTTATATATATATATATATATATATATATATATATATATATATATATAAATATAAATGAATATATAATATTCTATCAAATATTATATTTTATTTCCAATAAAAATATATATATATATATATATATATATATATATATATATATATATATATATATATATATTTTATATATAAAATCTTATAATTTATATTTTGGACTGCAATGTTGTATGAAAAATGTTTTCAATTATTAAATCATTTTTTGAAGACATTTCTTTCTATATATATGACAGTTTTTCAGATTATGTATCCATCTTTTGTCTATCACGGATATTGTTCTGGGGCTTTCAAATTTTTACATAAATTTATGGACTCGTCCAAAGTAATTATACTGACAGAGAGAATATCTGCTTTGAGATAATTAAGACGCAATCTCTGACTGTATGCCACGTTAACACAAAATATCATGTCGAACTTTTTTTTGGCAGAAGGAACCAAAAAAATTTGCCGATGGGGCAAGGTTTCGTCTGGGGAAGAATATAGATTGGCCCTGAATTATTAAATATTTAGGCGGGTTCAAAAATTATATTTTTGGATATATAAATACAGGCTGGAAAAATTTCTCATTAAATCGGCCTTATGCCCATATTTTCCTTAAAATGGGATATTAAATACCGAGATACACATTTGACGCAGCCTCTAAATAATGTGTTACATTTTTCTGTAAATTCTTCAGGCATCAAATATTTTCCTTGTATTTCCATGAGATTACAATGCCTTCAATCATTTACTCTATCATAAAATAAAAAGTCTGTTTTGATTAAAGATATTCTTGTCTAATGATACTTCTCCACTTCCAACCCATGCTGTTTAGTCGAAGTTATTATAAACAGAGCATTTATTTAAATATTTGTATCTATAAAAAGAATGCATAAACATAAAAATGTCTTAAAATAATTGTCGGACTTTGTCCATTTCATAATGTGTGACGTCATTTGTTTACATTTGGATACGCATTGAGCAGATATGAATGTACGTGAGAGAATCATGGAAGATTGTAGTTTAAAGATTTTAAAATCGTCCTGGCAGAACGAACGCTCTTCTGTGACTATATGACCGTTCCGTATAGGATACAAGTTCGATTCCTGTCGGAGGACGAATATTTTCTATGAAAATTTCTCGGACATTCAAGATGTAAATGTTGTTTAATACTGTTTATTACAAACAGAGCATTTACTTAAATATTTTATCTATAAAAAAATATAAAACATAAAAATGTCTTAAGATATTAAATATATATATTAAAGAAAGATATTTTCTCCGGATATCATCCTCCTATATATTACCAAGTTTTAATGGTATATATATATATATATATATATATATATATGTTTCGTTAAATAATTTACACATGTTCTGTCTACTTATTCTCGATAGCATCCTTTCATACTCACGAATGTGTGGTTATTGAAAGACGAGAGGAAAACACCGTGTTTGTTCACATTGTATTTATTTCCGAGTACTTTCGACATAGCATAATGTCACGATCACGGTATTGTTAATTATAGGATAAGTATTCTAGTGTTCTTGGTTGTAGAAGCCAAAATGTTGTATCATGCTGTGGCTAGCGAGCACCGATTAAGGGGAGGTAACTAGGTATTGTGAGGAGAGATTTTCCGACGCGAGTAGTCGAAAAATAGTCATAAAAAAATAAGGAAAGTACGAACATTCATTGCGACTATCTATTGTAACATTTGTCGAAAAAATGTTTGTGAAGTATTCATTTTTAATTTTTTTGTTTAGTTTTAATTTTTATTGTTGCAATTTTTTTTTTTAGTTTGTATTTGTTCAAATAGAAAAGTATGGATGTGTTTTCAACTCGGACTTTTCTGGATTTCATCTGACAACAACTCGAATATAAGGATTTTATTATTCAAGGAATTGATAGTAAATTAATGTCTCATTAAGTCCTGTTAGTGAAGTGATTTCGCCATTAATCACATTAATATTGCTAAAAGAGATTAAACGTATATTAGACCCATTTTCCGTTACTTACCTCCGTTTTCATACTTGGATTCCGGTGACACTAAAACTTGACAATTGGAATAATCAAGTTTCCCTCCGCATGTATCTAGCCAAAGAAAAAGAAGAAAATATTCAGTTACTAAATCTGTTGCGCATTAAGCCCTTAAAAATCGTAAAGTCCTTTGATCCGTACAACGTTCTGACGTCTACTGACCAAAAAATAATTAGTCAAACATAATAACTGTTCAGATGAAACAACTTCATACAAGACAATTACGTCCTGGGTAAGACGTTAAACTACATCTGCGTCCTGGGTAAGACGTTAAACTACGTCCAGCAGCAAAGCATCTGATCAGGAGGGTTTGAGGAGCATAGAACCACCTCTTAATTGCTGGTGTTCCCAGGTCCACCCTGACCCGGGGTGGTAGCAACTGTTAGGGTCCCAGCAATGGGCAAATAGTTAACTATTACCAGCAATACTTTTTTGAAAAAGAATTATTACCAGCAATACAATTTTTAAGGAAATGTATTACCAGAAGCAGATTTTTGACAAAACAAAATATTACCAGCAATAAAAGTTTTGTCGGCATTAAATAACGCATTGAGGTTGATATGCCGTAAAACAAAATAAACCAAACCAATCTAAACCAAAGAATACATATTTTATTCATATGAATAAATCTAAAAAAATGTTGTCGGCATTAAATAACCCATTGAGTTTGATATGCCGTAAAAACAAAATAAACCAAACCAATCTAAACCAAAGAAAACATATTCTATTCATACAAATCTATCCTAAAAATCTTCCTGGCATTAAATTTTCATTGAGGTTGATATGCCGTAAAACAAAATAAACCAAACCACAAAAAACCAAAGAATACATATTCTATTCATACAAATCTATCCTAAAAAAATCTTCCTGGCATTAAATAACTCATTGAGGTTGATATGCCGTAAAAAAAATAAACCAAACCAATCTAAACCAAATTTACATACTCTATTCATACGAATATACCCTAAAAATGTTGTCGGCATTATATAACCTATTGAATTGATATCAACTAAAAAAAAAAAACAAACCAAACCAAAAAAATATTCTTTTTTGTTTCTTTTTTTTTGCCGTTTTTGTTATTGTTCCATAAATTTCCATGTCTTTCAAAACCTTGATAAGTTAAATACGACAATGCCTCTTATCATACTGCAAAACATAAAACAACTAGCAGCATAACCCGTCTTCGACCAGGTGTTTCATTACAGGGAATTTTTGCCATTCAATTGGAACAGTTTAAGTTTAAAGTCAGCCCACCTGAAAATCAATATTAGTAACAACAATTGGGTACAACTGAGGCACATCCCTAAATGGAAAGTTAAAAATTTGAATAGGTGGGTGGCACTGAAAAGGGCCGTTTTTGCATTCTCAATCTTGTAAGGAAGGAACCTCTTCCATGGACCGTCATAATAATAATATACGATCATTTTTATTCATAATATATTTTTTTATAATTCTAATAATCTTTTGCGTTAGATTTCAACTTTCTAAATTGATTGTATGCTGTTTTTTTACAGACATTAAATTTTGCCTTTGATTTTTACACAAAGTGTAAAAAATCAGTTTTTTCAATTTATACCTTCAAGGTTGTAATTTTTTCCCAGCTAATTTGAACTCAAAACCGGAACTGAAGAATTATCTATCAAAAAACAAAAAAACAAAAGAAAAAACATGAAAACTGTGGAAACGCATAAACAACATCCGACACACACACACACACACACACACACACACACACACACACACACACACACACACACACACACACACAAACATTTTGAGAATTATAGATATAGATTACATTTTCAGGTTTTATTCACAGATATGTTAATTATAATTATTATTTATAATTATATTAATAAGAATTATTTATAATTTATATAATTATTTATAATTTATATAATTAATTATATAATTTTAACTGTATCATCATAAATATTATTATAATAATTTAAAATATTTATTTTTATTTTTATAAAAGATTTTAGGAAAGATATATATATATATATATATATATATATATATATATATATATATATATATAAATAATATATGTGGAATTCATATATACAATCTGGATAAATGATCAGTTGAGTGTGCAGCTTCAGTAAGTGCCTGACTCCCCCCTCCGCTATATTCTGTCTTTACAAGAGCTAGATCAGATCAAAAATGTTATTCTTCTTTGATCTATATCAAGAATCTATATAGCAGGAGAATCAGACTAAATGGAGCAGCAATAATAAAAGCAAGGACGAATGGTCGACTCATAAATAAATTGTCTTGCTCGACACAGTGAATCAACTTTCCTAGCTGCAGACCTAACAATTAATTCAATATAGTCTTTCTACTTCATATCAGCGGAAAAAAACATATGACCGAGAAGGTGCAACGAGTCGCTCTCCTGGAGGTTAGCATCAGCCATGCTGATTGAAGATAAAGGAGTTCTCTCAGATAGTTAAAAAGAACAGTTTCGTTTTTGAGGCGTTTAAATTAGCAATCCACTCCTTGCTCAATTTAACAACAGAATTGTCATATAGGAAGAAAATGAATAACTACCGACACCGAGGTTCGATCGTGACACTCTGGACTTATGAATATGTTTTCCACCAGGTGTATAAATAAATGGTGTCAGGCTACTGACTGAAGTGATTATTGAGTGATTATTAAGTTACTATTGAGTGGAACTATCCAGTCGAATTAGTGTGAATTGTTGTGCGTCGAAGATTTGGGTTTTGATTTAAGACTTACCGGACGTTAAGCCGAGCCGAGCCGAGCCGAGCCGAGCCACGCATCTAACAAAGTATTCACTGAAATCGTTAATGATCTTTGGTTGACTTTTACTTCTTTGTGCTTCTTAAGTATTTATTTGTGGTTGTAATTAAATACTGTTTTATCTTAACATTGAAGTCTTGAGTTATACTTAATTATTAATGGTCACCGTACATCACAAAAAGAATGTAGGTCATTTTTTTAGATCAGCTGCTAATTTGAGTGTATCGAACCGATCAGACTTACTATTCAGACAGGATTAAATAATTGTCATCAGCCTAGATACCAAGTTGAGAACTGATGACATCAGGAAGGTCATTTATGAAAATTAGGAAGAACGTTGGTCCAAGGATAGAGCCCTTGGGAACACCGGCATTAATGCACAATTTTTAAGTGAAAATTATTTGAAATTATGTTGTAATAAGCATGTTTTCTTTTTTTAATATATCACCGAAAGAAGTTGTGGTGGTTGTGATATTTAAACAAGTGATGAATGCAATGAGGTTCTTTTGTCACACCGACAGCCATAAAACTGCTATCCACCCAGTTTTGACGCAAGATTTAATGGTTCAGACAACATTTGCTAGCCAGGATAATCAAGGTTTTAAATATGCGTATGGCTTAAAACTATGAGGAAATACTTTAAGAAATGATAGTTAACGCATTACTGCATATTTCCACGTATAAGGCGACCTATAGATAGATAAGACCTACAGATAAGACGAGACCCAAAATCTAGGTAAATTTTCGAGATTTTCTTATATCTGAAGTATAAGACTTCATATGATAATACTGTAAATGACTATGATTATGACGAGTTCTTTGCATCTTTGAAGTGATTTAATTCTGTATGTAGATGTCTTAGGTTTTTTATTCTGTAATTAGAAATAAAGATTTTATGACATCCTAAATGCTTTGTTTCTTAACACTGAGAAAGAAACAAAAATATAATGTATGTGATTGAAAAATATATATTGTATATTATACTAAATGTTGCTGTCATTTAACATCGCAATGATAATGAATTTTAAAAAATAGAGATTTATGTTTCCTAAATAAAGTTTACACTACCATGAGAAATTCAATACTACAAATCAAGAACAGATTTCGTCAGGACCCATTACAGCGGTTTAAAAGGCGTTAGCATTTTAGATCCAGTGACAGGACCCAAAAATATGTGTGAGTTCAATAATCGGTTAAGTGCATTGGATAAACAACAAAAATTAACGACTTTGATAAAAACATGAAATGATTAAAAATTGGTACATGCACTGGAATTGAACTTTTAAAACCCAGAAATTCATACATCGTCAAGGACCCATGGCACAGCGGATAAAGGCGTCGAAAAAAAGGACCCAAAAAACATTTCAACCCCGGTTAAAGGAGAACTTGGGAGGGTAACAACTGATATTTGACGTCCAAATTATGGTTGCCGAATTGAACTTTAATTTTATGTGCGAAATAAATGATTCAACCACTTGAAGAACGATAGTCCGAAACGTTATGATAAATATGGCAACAATGATGAAGACGATATTTATGAACTATGGAAATGCAATATATATGAATATATATATATATATATATATATATATATATATATATATATATATATATATAGTCCTAATAATGTAAATAGTGTACATAATACCTCATCTCAGAAATATAGACAAATAATATAATGTGAATTGTTTAAACTAGAAATATTTACATCGGTAATTGTTAGACTAGCGCGATCCATGCCAATACACTACAGGATTTAAGGTTAGATTTTTGTAACTGTTGTATTAGACGACCCTACATTTTTTTTTTTGCGGGAGGGGGGGATTTTGTTGATTTAAAGGTCGACTTAAATGCGGAAAAACACAGTAAATCTTTCGTAAAAAAAAATAGGAGTATAACTGTCCAACTAGTCCAATAAACAATAAAAAATTGTTACCTAAATTCGCCCAATTCAAGTTACATGATCAAGAGTCCATCATACCAGTTCATATCTAAATGAAACACCGAAGCCGAGTAAGAATTTTGGCATGCATTCTTTTCTCATCATCCACAAGAAAGACATGATATCTATGCGATATGGCAATTGGCAGTTATTTAACTGGTCTTGTCACTGACATGCCACAATAGCAGATAGACAATCGAGTGAAGGAATAATTACACTCCTACCATAAACCCATGCATTGATAGCAAAATATCACTGTGTGTATGGCATACTGGCATATTTAATAAATTTAGTGATACATTTATTTAATAAATTCGTCTTACAGATTGACTCCCAACACAAATATTTGCATGTTTGATTAAAAAAAAGAATACTGTTTTTACAAACCATTAACGGGCGGGAATTGCACTGCAAACATCAGGGCGTCCATTGGACTGGAAAAATAAGTTCCGTTCGGGTGGCTACTTCCAGGTCTGTGTATTATGTAGCCACCAGCCTCAAACGGGACGGTGCTGTTCACCAAGGATCTCGTAGCAGTGGCATTGGATCGTCTCACTACGGCAAAGGAGAAGGAAATGATATCCGTAAAATAAAGATGGTCGAACTGAAAAATAAAAAAAAAGAAGTGAGAATTCTAAGAAATTTAAAATAGAATGAAGATTGTCAAATGTAAATTATTTAGGTTCAAATGATCTGAAAATATAAATGACTAGTTAACAAGTGTCACTGCTACGAAATTACTAGAGAAAGAACTGAGAAAGTATGTATGTGGTATAATGAAAGGAAGGCCATGGTGTTATTTATCAAGAAACACAGCTTTCATTATTAATGACATATGAGACTGAATTAAAGCAGAGTACATCGCTAGTCACGTGGCTTAAATACACGTCGTGATTACCTAATGTCTTCAGCAACCATTTTTACCAGTGCTCATATTGCAATTTTTGCTGTTATCATAGCATGTTTATAATACCCTGAAATTCATCCGCAGATGTCCTCAAGGAGACATGACACAGTGGATAAAGGCGTTAGTTAAATCTAATAACAGGACCCAAAGATCGTGCGTTCAATACCCGGTTCAGGCGTTGGATAAGGGAATTATTTTTTCTTTATCTTTTCCTCAATCCTCCCCATTTTCAATCTTCTTATTCTCTTTTACTTTCACCCCTTGTAACCCATTACGTACTATTTGCTATTTAGCCCATAGCTGTGGGGATAATAAATGGATTCATATCTTTCTCAAAGGCATCTGCTCGAAATGGTATGTATCGAACCCGATTTGCTGATTTCTGTTTTTGAGTCCCTTACCATTATACCACCACTAATGAGACCTTTAACGTCTTGTCAGTGCAAGCGAAAAAGCTGTCGCCTAACCTTGATTGTCAGTTGTCCGGATTTCGAATCGTAAATCTTGGTGGGAGAACTTCCGGTCATATTGGAGATAAGTTGGTCATCAAATTGGACGAAAGGAGGAAGATAAAAAATGGCGTATACTGGGTGAAGTTCCGCCATTGAAGTATTTTCATGCTTGAGGAGAGAGTAGACAGTCATAAAGTGGTCACTGCAAAAAAGAATACAGTAAAAAGATTTACCTTATTCCCAGTTTAAACTAAAATTTGAAGGAGAAAATTAATTACCAATAAAACACAGGAGAAAAAACTACCGGGCATCCTAGACAAGGTTATAAAGGAAAACGAGAAGAAAGGACTAAGCATCAATTTTAAGAATGATTGATTTGTTATTTTATGTATTATTAACCCCTTGCAGTTTATTTAAAGCCAGAAAAAACTTTTAGATTGTAAGACATTTTCGAAGATGATAGTGAAAATGATTTTTCTAAAACTATTCAATGTAATATGACTAATGTTTCTTGGTATATTTGAAATAAAGAATTATCGTCATCATATGCTTTGCTATTCGGCCTAGGATTCTCATCTTGGTTGTTATATTCACGACGTTTCGACTATTGTAGCATTCGTCCTTCTTCAGGAATCTATCATCTTATCTTCTCGGAAATTTGAACCAAATCCTTTATTAATCCACCACGTTTGGATTAAAGCGTTGCTTAAAACATATATAGTTTCATGGCAGTTGTGAGTTCAATCTCTAAGACTGTTAGTACTGAAAAGTTGCATACTCCGGTTCAATGATTGATTTGTTCGTTTTTTACGATTTATCAACCCCTTTTCAGGTTATTTAAAGCCAGAAAATATCTTTAGATTATAAGAATTTACCAGGTTTGGTCAAAAAGTGTCGGTAACGGACCTAAAGTACGCAAAGTGAAGCCGCTTGGTACGGATGACCTTAAACTCTGTTTAGCATATTCATTAAGTTATAACATTCTTGCTCACAACTGGTGTTTATAGCAGTGCTTGGAAGGAAAGTGTGTAGAGTGTGGTCATTTAGTAACAACAGAGAGGTTCTATCAGTGACCATGGCTTGTGCAGCAGTTTGATCAAATACAACTACCATATTGCCCAGATCTCGTCCCTTGCGACTTTTTCCTCTTAAAAAAATCTTTGAATACAAAGCTCCAAATTAATCCACAGCTGAGAAGTAGAAGAGGAGGATTTATTTTCTGTTCTTGATACACCTAATTTACATAAGGGGATTTGACCATATAAAATGGGTTGGTACAGGGGAAGATAGTAGAGATTAAGAAATTGAATCCAGAAACTCGGTGCGATTTAGTCAATTAGGAAATTCCGAGCCATATACCAAACTAACTTTAAATACACCTACTTTGTTTCAATACATTTTGTTCGTAATTTTGTGTTGTTTACATTATTTGGTATTTTCAAGCGGTCACCCGGAATTTGAATCTCGGTCTCCAATTAAAAATTCGAGCCATTACCCACTAACTTGATTCACATTCAAGTTTACAGCACCTGGTAAAGCGGTTTAATTTTCAACAAATTCGATGTTGCTAAAATTAGATTCAACACTAAAATTAATATTTTTCAACATTTTTAAGATTACTAAGTACTTAAAAATTATATAAAAAAGGCGCTCACCCGTCATTTTCTTAAATTATGTTTTAACAGATAAAGTCTCCGTAGAACAACAGTAAACGTGTTAACAGATCTTATCATCACTAGTTAAGTGATCTACGAGTGACAAGCGATGGTGATAAGCGCGTAATCACCTCTACCGTTTGTTTCAAAAAACATTTCTCTGTTATTTTAAACTTAAAATAATATTTTTTCAAATCAGATTAATTATACTTTAAATTAGCTAATATGCCTCAAATAAAGTTTAAGAAAAGTCTATTTTATTTTTGGAAGATTTTAAAACAGAGAATTAACTTTTGTTTACAAATGTGTCGAAATGTGTGAAATCGACCAAAAAGTTGAGATTCGAATCAATATAATTTCTATTTGAAATGCACTAAAGTATTTTACTTAATGGAAATAGGAAATTTAATCATTAACTTTCAATTAAAGCTAAAATGAAAGCTTGAAGAATGCTTTTTCATTTTTCAAAACACTTTTTAAACCTTATGCATCAAAAATTCAGTGGAGGTGCCTAGCTTTATCTATCTAAAATGTGAATGGGTTTTCGGCCATTTTGTTTTATTGCATAAATGTGCAGTGGAAAATGTCATGATGCCCTTCCCGGAAAGAAATGAGTATACAACAGAAATCAAAGGAAATAATAATAATAATAATAATAATAATAATAATTTTCCATATCTATTGGAAAAGATTCCAATAGACTAATTGAAGGAATCCCTGGTAGCCCATGCCTTAAAGAAATACAAAAAAAATGTTCTCACGAGTACAGCCCACACCTTACGAAGGGCTTTATCGATGTGAAATATGTGGTTTCTTTTTGTTTGTTTTTTTTTCGCTGGGTGTAAAATATCATGATGCCATTTCTAACCTTAGGTCTCTGGGCGGGACCCGGAAAGATGAGTACACACCAGAAATCAAAGGAACTAAAATAATAATAATAATAATAATAATAATAATAATAATAAATGTAAAATGTGTGTGATCAGAGTTCGGGGAAGCCTCCACTCGGGATTCTGTGCCATAAAGCAGCTACTCTTGGAAAGAATCTGTCCGAATTCTTCCCACTGGAAGACGCATGGAATGAGGACGGTTCCTTCCCTCTGTCCATGGAATGGCGGATCTTAGCTGTAAAGGTCTGAACTGGTGGAACTAAGGTAATGTGTCAGATTAGTTTCTGTGAAAATGTCGATAAGCCTGTCATATTGCGTCTGGGAGAAAGAGACTGTAAGTAAAATCCTCATTGTGTGTCCCATAGAAAAATTCGACCAATCTAAATTTAATCTAACGCAAGAACCAAATGAGACGTAAGAAGATTGTGATGTTCCAATCGCTAATGACAACAACGGGAGGCTAATAGTTCTCATATTGATATATACTGAGTTTAGTTTAGCAGAGACCAAGTGAGCACTTGGAATATTGTGTTGTGTCAATCTCCAAATTTATCGAAATTATATAAAGATGAGTTTTTATATTACTATTTACTAGGCTTAGTCCGACACAGGAACGAAATAAGACGTAGAAAGCTTATGTTTTGGTTTGGTTTGGTTTATTTTGCTTTACAGCATTTAAACACTTCATTGGGTTATTTAATGCCGACAAGATTTTTAGGATAGATTCGTATGAATAGAATATGTATTCTTTGGTTTAGATTGGTTTGGTTTATTTTGTTTTACGGCATATCAACCTCAATGAGTTATTTAATGCCGACAAGATTTTTAGGATAGATTCGTATGAATAGAATCTGTATTCTTTGGTTTAGATTGGTTTGGTTTATTTTGTTTTACGGCATATCAACCTCAATGAGTTATTTAATGCCGACAAGATTTTTAGGATAGATTCGTATGAATAGAATATGTATTCTTTTGGTTTAGATTGGTTTGGTTTATTTTTGTTTTACGGCATATCAACCTCAATGAGTTATTTAATGCCGACAAGATTTTTAGGATAGATTCGTATGAATAGAATATGTATTCTTTGGTTTAGATTGGTTTGGTTTATTTTGTTTTACGGCATATCAACCTCAATGAGTTATTTAATGCCAACAAGATTTTTAGGATAGATTCGTATGAATAGAATATGTATTTTAGATTGGTTTGATAGACGGCATATCAACCTCAATGAGTTATTTAAGACAAATTTTTAGGATAGATTCTTGAATAGAATATGTATTCTTTGGTTTAGATTGGTTTGGTTTATTTTGTTTTACGGCATATCAACCTCAATGGGTTATTTAATGCCGACAAGATTTTTAGGATAGATTCGTATGAATAGAATATGTATTCTTTGCTTTAGATTGGTTTGGTTTATTTTGTTTTACGGCATATCAACCTGAATGGGTTATTTAATGCCAGGAAGATTTTTATTGCTGGTAATATTTTTTTTTTTTCAAAAATATTTTTTGCTGGTTTGGTTAATTTTGTTTTATGGCATATCAACACCTCAATGGGTTATTTAATGCTAACATGATTTTGAGGATAGATTCGTACCAATAGAATATGTATTCTTTGTAAGAAATCAGTTTGTAGATCAGGTTTCATTTATGTATTTTTGTAAAGAGGGTTTTTGTGGGAAGTCAAATATATTGCTGGTAATACTTTTTTCAAAAATATATTGCTTGTATTTTTACAATAAAAATGTATTTTTATACTTTCATAGTGTTTTGACCCTGGTTTGAGTGGGGGGGGCACTATTTTCCCATAGTTGGGACCCTGACAGGTGCTACCACCCCGGGTCAGAGTAGACCTGGAAAAACAGAAATTAAGAGGTGCTTCCACGCTCCATAAAAACCTCCCGATCAGAAGACTTGCTACAGGATAGTTTATCATCATGCCAATGATTATGTTGCGCCAATCTTCCAACTAGTCGAAATAAAATTTAAAAAACAGTGACAATACAAATCTGAATAATTGCTTTTCATTAATTATACCTTAGACTTACACAAAGAAATGATAGAAAGAGGGTATTGCATCAATCTCCTAATTATTAAACGAATCGAATCAAGTATCTTGCAAAACATAATTACTTGAGAGGTCTTCCGGTGTCATTCAGAAATCCTTCAAAGAAGATTTTCGGGACTTCATTTAGATTTCTGTCAACCGAAACAGTATTTTCCAAATGAGCAACGTAAGGTCCGACTGTGGCTATAAGTTGGAAAATTTTCTTCGCCGAATTTGTATTCGAGAGACTGTCGGTTAACTGCAAAGTGACTTCGACAACAAGAAGGTTGTCTTCTTCGTTGGTCAGTTCCTTTCGATAAGTGACGCCTATAAAAGAAATATGAACAAGACATCGTTAATTTTTTCATTATCATTATCAACATATATAAAAGTCAGCTCAGAGGGTCGAGGTGAGTAAGTTTTTTTTTTTTCACGTCATGATAAACCGGAACATAGACAGGCCATCATTGGCGATTGCGAAAAATGTCAGCGTCAAATGTATTTTTTTGATTATATATATATATATATATATATATATATATATATATATATATATATATATTATGGTGAAACACATCTATTCTATAGTTAATAGACTCTCCCACCTAATATGAGTAGTAAGAGAAACGAGGGTCAGTCGATGTCGGACGACAGTAGTCGACAGTTAGTCGAATACAAAAATAGTCAGCGACCACAACAAGATTACTCTGCGTAATACCCATTATATCAAGTTCCTAACGTTTTGTACGTCGAACCTATTTTAGGACCGATTTAGTACAAATACAAGCCTCCACTGCAAAATAACTCCACAACAATAATCCTTTGATTATGTAGATAATCTCGAGGAATTCCTAGAACAAAGTGAATATTCAGGTAAAATTCCTTGTAGAGAGCTCAGTGTATGAGAATAATAACAAATCCTCCAGAGCAATATAATTAAGAAAAATTTCAAAGAAAAACTTTACATTTGAATTTTCTAGTTATAAACTTAAATTTATTTCTGCAGTTGGTTTACACTGCATCTTCAGACTGGTTTAAATACAGGAAAAATGATTTAAAAAAGAAAGATAGAAGAAGAGAAGAAAAGAAAATTTTGTGGTAGCGAGAAGCAACAAATGAAAAGAAAGGGTAAAAATGAAGACATAAGGGAGAGAAAGATATCTTGTTGGATGAAGAGAGCGTAGGGTGAGTTTATAAGGAAACTTTTCCAAATATCTCTGTCAAATTCCATAAGAATAGATAATCTTTCTTTTTAAAAAAAAAATAAGTGCGGCACAAGGTCGAAAGTATATACATAGATTGTTATGGTCCAAGGTTAGAACCAAGAAAGAACAACACGAACACAAGAGTAGAAATAACGAAGGTATATTACACGAAATAATAATACAAGGTGTGGAAGGTGTTAGTATGACTGTCAGTCTGGTTTGGAGTGAACTACTATCGGCTCGACTCGATTCGGTATCTAGCCACCCCCCACGAGGGTTGCATGTGGCACAAGGCCGAGTTTAACATGGGTTTCCCGAGCCCGTAGGCTCGGCCAAAAAATGCCCGTGGAATCCGTAAAAACAGAATCGGGTTGGTCAACCACCCCGAACGAGACTCTGCCCTTCGGCGGAGCCTCGTCCGGGTTCCTCTCTGCTCAGAGGCAGTGTTCGATCGTCAAGCCAAGACGCTTGGCTCGATTGGGGATCTAGCCACCCACCCACGAGTGTTGCATGTGGCACAAGGCCGAGTTTAGCATGGGTTTCCCGAGCCCGTAGGCTCGGCCAAAGAATGCCCGTAGAACAAATATAAACAGAATCGGGTTAGTCAACCTCCCCGAACGAGACTCTGCCCTTCGGCGGAGCCTCGTCCGGGTTCCTCTTTGCTCAGAGGCGGAGAGTTCGACCGTCAAGCCGAGAAGCTCGGCTTGATTCGTCCCTCTCTCTTGAGAGGCGTAGTATACATAGTTTTAGGAAGAGTTCATTCTGCAGCTATAGGTAAGAACCCATGACATAGATATAGATATTAAGAAGTGAAAGGTAAATTTTATTATGTGTGTACAGATAGGTAAAAAGGGTGATAGAACTAATTTCAACTCAGAACCTCAAAAGGGTAATTTGCAGTTCAAGCCCCACGCTCAGCTTCAAATAAAAATTTCCCGAATAGTTCCATTTAGGTGTAAATGTACATGCTCAATTAGAAAATAACAAAGACATTTTGATAAAATCTACTGTTTTGGAGTTATCGATAAAAAAAGTTCGGACTCATTCGCGTCGCGGTGGGTGATGTTGAAATTAATTCTGCACCCCGCTGAAAATGGAAGAAAAAATTTAGTACGCGACACATAGAAGAAGAATTGACACGTAATTTACATACGTTCTTTAAAAACGATGATCTTAACACCAAACTGCTAGAAAGGGTCCTTAATGTTCTGCTCCCCTTTCTCACCACATAGATATGCAAAGTGAATAGACGAGGACCCAGATTTCTTTTCAACCCTACCGAGCGGTTGGACGTGTGAGACAAGAAATCGTCATCACCAGTTTAATTTCTCCTTCTCTCGGCAACCAGAATTTCAAATAAAACGAGAGATCACAAGCACAACAAACATTAATCTTCAGAATTTCTTTTTTTCCTTTTTTGTTCTACTTGTGAGCTCGTTTTATTTGAAATTCTGGTTGCCGAGAGGATCATTGGTCCCTCCGATAAACACAGCATCACACTCGATAAGTGCTTCTCTTGAAGAGGAAGTGGCATTGCATGGAACCACAAGTCACCTCTGTTTCTGCTTGTGACATATCTTTCTCAAAACTGGAGTTATAACACAATACCGAGATGCTGTCTCTATTTCATACCTGTGTTCGTTACAACTCCCAGATCCAGGACTCCGCGATCTTTCTGGGAAGTTCCATTGACGGAGGTCAGGCTTAGTTTTTGATCTTCAGGATCTCCAACGCGAGCAATGTTCTCTCCCGATGAAGCATACTTCATATAAAGCACAGTCAGGTCGGCCGACTCCGACACGGGCATGATGGCTTCTAATTTCACGTTCACAGTCGAATTGGTGGGGATTGAAATTACAACAGGTAGGATAATCACTTGTCCGATTTTCATGGAGATGCTGCCACTGCTGCTGTTGAGACGCAACATTGTTTCGTTGAAAGTGGCATTTACCTGAAATATAAAGAGACAAACACCTTGTTTCATATCGTTTCAGACAGCGTATCTAAGAAGATACGAAAAAAAAAAGCTCATATTACTATCTCCATCAAATTACTGGTCAAAGTACACGATTTACTTTTGCCGGATTTTCTACGATTTGATTACGTTGGACACGAACGACAAAATGTTTAGTTATTTACCATGCGTGATACGCGCTTAGGCGATCATGCTTCTTTCGATACATGACTGATTTAGTCTTTCGATAAATGACTGATAAGTTTGAGGCAGATTTTTTCCCGCAGTAGTTTGCCATTTCTTTCTGCGATAGACTAGTTGCCATCCAAGGCTATAGAACTCGGTCTGTCCTGCTATTTATCCATAGCTGGGGAGAGAAGAAGAGGATTCATACCTTTCCCAAGGGTTATTAGCACGTAAGTGAATGTTATGGATTTGACTGGAATTAGAACTCGGCTTTCCGATTCTTCAATCCGAGCCGCTATCCATTACTCCACCGTACCTCCTCGCTCCTAAGATAATATAAACACAGAAAAATCAGAAAACACACACACACACACATATATATATACACTCACGCAAAGACCCGTGCACACACATTCCTCTATCAATATTACAATAATCTGATTTCCGTTATAGGGGTATTAACGTTAAACTGTAAAACCAGCACATCGTAGCGAAAAATGATTTAGAGCAATACCATTAAAATGTATCTTTTATAAAAATATTTTGCGACTTAATAATTTTTTTATCCCGTAGGGGCACCATGTGTACTGCAGCCAGAGTAGAAATGGTGATTCTTGGGCAAGGGAGCCTAAAAGAACCCAACCTTCTCTCTAGGACTATTTTGAATTCACAGTTTTTCCTTCTCCTTGGTTGTCATCCAAAGCTATAGAACCCAGACTATCCTGCTATTTACCCATAGCTGAGGGGAGAAGAAGAGGATTTATACCTTTCCCGGAAGTGAATGTAATGGATCCAACTGGAATTCGAACTCGGCTCTCTGATTCCTCAATCCGAGCCCCTATCCATTACTCACTAAGCCTTCTTTATAATCAAAATAATAATAATAATAATATAATATAATAATAACATTATAATAATATTATAATAATATTATAATAATATAATAATATTATAATAATATAGTGATAATATAATAATAACAATATAATAATACAATAATAATATTATAATAATATAATATAATAATATCATAATAATAATATAATATAATATAATAATAATATTATATGAATATTATAATATTATAATAATATAATATAATAATATAATAATAATATAATAATAATATAATATAATAATATTATAATAATACAATAATAATATTATTATAATAATATAATAATAATAATATAATATAATAATATTATAATAATATTATAATAATAATAATAATAATATATCTCCACTACGTTTAGCTTTTATGGATTATGATTGTATTTCCCAAACTTTTTAAGTAACAGCAAATCCAGTAGGAAATAAAAATATCACGACACACTCATTAAAAATTTTAACATTTAAATGTTATAATATAAAACCATATATTTAAAAAAAAAAATACACACAAAAATATGAACTTTATTTCACTGTTTCTATTCAACTATTTCTGCAGCTTTTGTACCATTACTACTTCCATATACATACATGCAATAAAAAGTATTTGGCTGCAAAACATTTAAGATGATCGACAAATTAATATCATTTGTGGCGTAACGACGACGGGTGAGAATCACTGGATTCTGGTTTTAATTTATTGGAAGTGTTAGTCTATAGATGCTTTGTCTTGATGAAATAAGATTGTTGACAGTAAATATCCTGTTCAGTCGGACAGATTTGCCTAACCATAATCAGCTGGGCCCATCCGCTAGAAGCTGTGGGATGTTCAGGCCACTATTGTTCCAGTTAGCATTGGGGCGTTGGGGTTCTGTACCACCGAACCTAAATACCTAGATTAAGAAAATCGGAATAAAGCCTAAAGAGGATGAGGCCGAAATGCGATCTGAAGGTCGGGAACACTAGAATCAAGCAGACGCGGAAGTTTAAATATCTGGGAAGCGTCTTGACACAGGACGGTATGTGCGACACTGAGATCCGTAAGTGTATTGGGATGGCCAAGGACGCATTCCAAAAGCTGGCCAGAGTACTACGAGACAGGAGGATTTCTTTAAGAGACAGGAGGATTTTTTTGGTAACAAAGAAAAGAATACGGATCTGTTACGTGACATCTGTTCTTCTTTACGGCAGCGAATGTTGGACGATTTCCTCAAAGATGAAGAAGAAACTCTAGGCGATGGAGACGTGGTTCTACAGAAGGATGCTAAGGATATCATGGACCGAGCTTGTGAGCAACGATGAGGTCTTAGAGAGGTTGCAAACAAGGAGGAGGCTTATACTTAACATCAGGAAGAGACAGCTGAAGTTTATGGGACACATAATGAGGAAGGAAGGCCTGGAGAATCTGATACTCACAGGTTGAATAGAGGAAAAGAGAGACAAGGGAAAGCAACGCGTGATATAATTGCAGGCTTAAGCGAGTGGATGGCAGAACATGATCTGGGGGAGGTAGCAGAGGGAAGGAAAGCCATGATCGCCTACGTCCTGAAAGGACATGGCACTTAAAAAGAAAGAAAGGTCCTATCGCTTCAGAAGTCTACGTTCCGTGACTCTGGAAATATTCTGTGAAAGGTGCTATCTCTAATGCCGCATAATTTGATGGAGAACACCCTTAATTTATGATCTCCGTTACTCTGACCCACACCCTCTTAGCGAAATAGGAAAATGGCATCTGGATTTATCAAGTTGTGTTTCCGGTCCTAAAAAGGGCTAGAAATGACTATGTGCTAAAAAAAAAAGGTTTATTTATTGACTTATTTTTAGGAATACAGAGAAACCTCTTATCTACGGATACCCATTAACGGACTTCGGATGAAACGGACAAAATCTGCAAGAGTAATAAAAGAAATCTGCAGGAAAAAAAAAAACAAATAAAAACTTCCAAATCGTCAGCGATGTATTTCAAAATTTGCAGGCTTAGCAGAACGAGTCGTATTAGTTCTCAAAGTGACCGCTTGGCGGCGGTGGCGGGCTTTTCAATTGTAAACAAAGACCGGTGCGTGAAAAAGTAGCTGTGAGAAATGTATTAATTTTCTTGCTTTGATTAATATATCAGTAATGGGATTGGTTTAACTAATAGGTAATTGGCATATAACTCTAGCTCACGGGCAACTTTGAGTCAGTGTATGTAGAATATCTACAGCTACTAAGTTTGAAACCAGTGAGAGGGGGAGGGAATATAGGAGAAGCCATAGATCCACATAGGGCGTGAAACCCAAAAGATTCAGGGAGATGTAATGGGATTAGTTTAGCTAATAGGTAATTGGCATAAAGAGAGCTATAACTATAGCTCATGGGCAACTTTGAGTCAGTGTATGTAGAACATCTACGGCTACTAAGTTTGATCACCATAACAATATCTAAATTAAGTATATATTTATTTATGCCATATATACATGTTTATAGTATTTACATTATGATCATAACTACTGGTAGTTACTGTAGTGGTTTTATGACTCAAAAATAATCCCTTCCCATATACAGACAATCGGCTTTAACGGGCCATCCCTCCCCCTGTTACTCCGTTGATGAGAAGTTTGTCTGTAATGAAAAAGAAAACGATAGAAAAATACAAACCGATGGGCTCAAATATTCTTGGAAAACGTCGGTCACTGACAAACGTAATGTTGAAGTATCCACGAGGCTATTCTCGAGGAAGATAGCTGTTGATACGGTTATTTGATCCCCGTTCTTCAGAGAGCTCTTTGATCGCAGTTTGACAATGGATTCAACTTGAAGCTGCAGAAAAGGGAAAAGGGAGATAACTCGGTTAATCCGTCAATAATACAAGCGATGTTATTTAATCTTTATTCAGCGGAGCTTAGAACTGAAACAAAGTCAATAACAGACGACGCAATAACAAAGTCAAATCAAAGTGTACCCAGAATAACTTGCGCACTTTGCGAGAAAATACAGTTACTCGCCGGCGCCCAACTTTTCTCTAAATGCAAGAAGATTTGCCAGATTATAAATAAGTAGAAAATTTTGAAATCAAAACTATAATTTTTAAAATGATAATTTCAACAATATTTGATATATATTATACACATATAAAAATAAATTTACACACACACACACACACACACACACACACACACACACACACACACACATATATATATATATATATATATATATATATATATATATATATATATATATACAATATCTATATACAGGGTGTCCATAAGGTTCGTATTTAACTTAAAAAAAAATTATTTTTTATTTGCATTTGCGATAGAAATAATCTGTAAAAAATGTTATAAAGTTTAATGTACCTAGTTTTAAGTATAGCTAAAATAACTACTGTAAATCAGTTGACAAATGTTTTCCGTGAACTGCAAAATCGTATTACCCTTTGTATTGCTAATGATGGAGGACATGTGGAAATTAAATAAAATTTCAATAATACCTTAAAAAATATAGATTTACTTCTTTCTAATCCTTTTTACAAATTATTTCTATCGCAAATACAAATAAAATTACTAATTTTTTAAAGTGCAAATGAATTATATATATATATATATATATATATATATATATATATATATATATATATATATATAAAAATGTGTATGTGTGTGTGTGTGTGTGTGTGTGTGTGTATTAACAAGGAATAAACGTAATTATTGGGCAGGATAATACGTATAATACCATCCTTAGTAGGATAATCACAGAGGAAATCGATCGTTCTGTTGTTAAATGACTGAAAGACATTTCTATAGTTTATAGACGCAAAGCAATGCGTATACGGCCTTCAGTGAGGCATGGAATCATTACAGAAGCAATGATCTCTGAGATAAGCTTACTAGCCATTATTGCACGGTAACATTTAAGACACTTTAAGGAAATTATTTCAATCAAAAACATCATCTTCTTACCAGGTTAGCGTCTTTGTCTAAAGTGTCAAAAGGCCAGGAACAAACCAAACCAAGATCCAGTGTTCCTTTTACCAAGCTGCAAAAGAAAGAATATTTTTCTTAAGGAAAAGGACTGTAAAAAAAAAAAACTATCGCAATAATAATAATAATAATAATATCAACTAGTAGTTACGACGAATATTTCATTGTTTTACTATCTGAATTTTCTGAGGAATTATAATTCTTAAATTACCCGTAATTCCCCATGTATAATACGCATTTTTTTCATAAAAAGGAAGCAAAATTAGGGGTGCGTATTATGCACAGCAAAAAAAATATTTAAAAATCTGCCGTCTCATGGGTCGATTTCAGTTGTAAAATTACTACTCACCACAAACATACGACAATTTGACACTAACATTCGGCGATTGCTACCCCATAAGGATGTCAAATACAATCATATGTACCTAACAATACTTATAAATGTAAAATACAATAAGAATTATCATAAAACTAAATTAGAATAAAATTATTCTATGTTTAAAACCATTTTTTATAAGAGTTGGAAACGCTGGTTGTAATGAGATTGGAGAAATACAATTTATAGGGTTTGATTACCAAACAAAAGGTGCATATTATGCATGAGTAGAAGCATTTTCCCACACTTTCAGCACAATTTTAGAGGCGCGTATTATGGATGAAGGCGTATTATACGAATTACGGTAATAATTGAATAAAGTCCTTGTTATCTGTCTATATTTCTGAGATGAGGTATTATGTACATTATTTACATTATTCGGACAATTGTACTCATCTTTGTCGACATATTTTTTACAACGTTTCGGCCGTTGTACGCTCCGGCCTTCTTCAGGTGGTTGCAATGTCAGGTGGTTGGCGGTTACAAGAGGAGGACAACAACACTCAGAAAACAGTCTGCCTGTCTTATGTGAAGGGGTTACCAGAGAAAATACAAAGGATCAGGACAATCTTCAAAAGCTTGACGACACTTCGCAGATATCTCTCCCGAGTAAGACTCCCCCACCCATAGAGGAGAACATGACTAAAGACTGTTTGTACACTATCCCGTGCAGTTGCGGAAAGAAATATAACGGAGAGACAGGCCGCCCTCATAAGGTAAGGCTTCAAGAACACCAGAAAACTGTAACAGGAGGGGAAGTGGAAAAATCAGGCGTGGCTGACCACATATATAGAGAGAAAGATCACCACCCTCTGTGGGATCAAGTTGAGATCATAGACAAGGAACACCATTGGAAAATTCGTAAACTTAAGGAATCAGCACATATGCTAGGCCACAAAAATCTCCTGAGCCGACCAAGCATAGAAATAAATACAATATGGGAACCAGTAATAAGGAGTGCCAGAGAAAAGCAATGATAACAACAAAGTTGCAATATGAGCTCTGGTAAAAACATGCAATGATAACAGCAAAAAATTGCAATATGAGCCATGGTAAAAATGGTTGCTAAAGACATTAGGTTTATAATACTATGAAATTCATACACAGCCATTGAGGGCATCATGGCACAGTGAATAAAGGCGTTTGTTAGATCCAGTGACAGAACCCAAAGAGTGTGAGTTCAATATCCGGTTAAGACAGTGGAGAACTTTCAGAGGGAAATTAGCAGAAGATAACTGACATCCATTAAACATGGCACGTGGAACTAGAACACGTCAGCGAAATAAAGGGTTCAGTTCGACATTCCAACCACCAGAAGAAGGCCGGAGCGTAAATAGAGTCTTTGTTAGTTCTGCGACTACAAAAACCGGTGAAAATGTCTCTGTTGCATTGTTAAATATAAACTTTAACAAAATATTTCAATAACAATCATAAATGAATGCATTTCAGTATTTAAAGAAGTAAGAGGGTACCAATGATAAAATTTAAAAGTTTCTTTCCATTTTTACCAGGTTAGCTCAAAGTTTCTGTCTTCTCTCGCTCTCTCTTTATAATTTATTTTCTTATTTAAACCAAACAGCGTTTCTGATATGTCTTTTCCGTCTTTTCTCGCGATCAAAACGAACTATTCTATTATTTATGAGGTATTGGCAGGTTGTAACAGCCGTGATAACTAAGAGACAAAGAATAAGCCCCAATTATAATATAAATAATAATAATGATTTTCGTGCCAAAAATATAGCTACGTGTCTGAAAAATGGTACGGGTGCGTACCATTGCGAGTAATGGAAGGAGAATGCAACCCAAAGATAGTCTGGGACTATGATTGTCAATCAGATCAGGTTATTGAACACCGAAGACCAGATATGGTGGCTCTCAAAACAACCGGAAATGAATGCCGAATAACTGATATGACCATCAAATAAAAAAGATTGGCAACTACTGTGATCTGAAATTTGAAATTGTTAGATTGTGGAAAATACCAGAGAAAAATGTTAGTCATCACGGTAGTGATTGGAACACTTGGCTCCATCTCAATAGAATTTAAAGAAAATGTCGACAAACTTGGTGTAAAATACACTTTGTCAACACCAGAAATATCTGTCCTATTTGGGTGCCCCAAGCATACTTAAAAAGTGCTTTTTTAAATTCATTTTTTTGTGGATCCTATATATATCTTTTCAATATTTGGATTTTCAATGGATGAGATTGAGGATTGGTATACTACAGATTCTATGCGGTATTTATTATTCAGAGGGCAGTTTTCAAGGCTTCTACAATTACATAATTTTTCATTATTTTGTGACTTGACAGGCAGTATGTTCTCTGGTACCGAAGAAATCTACACAACAGCAGTATTATGATATATTGAATAATAATAATTGAAGCTATCAAAATACAAGGACCTTGAAATCGAAATCTCAAAAATATGGCACATGGGAACATTAACAATCCTCGTTGTAGTTCTAGTTGGAACCCTCGGATTGGTTGGAAAAGATTCCAGTAGAGTAACTGAAAGGATCTTTGGAAGCCCATGCCTTAAAGAAATGCAAAAAATTGTTCTCACGAGTACAGCCCACACCTTACGAAGGGCTTTGTCTATGTAATTTTTTTTCCTGTGGAAAATGTCATGATGCCATTTCTAAAGAAAGAAATGTGTACACATCAGAAATCAAAGGAAATAAAATAAAGATAATAATAATAATAATAATGTGAACAATATGTTTAGAATATTGATTACTAAGTATCTGGTTGTCCAATCCTGAAACCGTATTACATGATGTCAGTCTTACTGTCGTATGCTGAAAATTGTATGAACATTACTCTGAAAAGTCGGAGCCTGACGTCAGTATTCTCTGTGACCCTCCCATACATACTGGCAGATATCTAAAAACTAATAGACTAGACATACTGATTAAAGATTACAAAGACAAGATTCCTTCTCATGGATATGACAGGGAATTCGGATAAAACTATATTTGTTAAAGAATATGGCAAAATAATAAGTAAATATAAGAAGCTTCAAGCGTAAGATGAAAAAAAATGCGGCATATTAAATCTAGTGATATGCCAGGAAAAAATCCAAGTACAATACAAAAACGCACAAACACATTAATAAATTCCTTAACAGGTCAAGTTTATAGGAAATTTAGAAAATTGCAGAGCAGAACGGTTCATCTATTCAGTATCTATCTATCTATCTATCTATCTATCACAGTCTCTTCATTATCTATCTATCTATCTATCTATCTATCTATCTATCTATCTATCTATGCCAGACTCTTCATTATCTATCTATCTATCTATCTATCTATCTATCTATCTATCTATCACAGTCTCTTCATTATCTATCTATCTATCTATCTATCTATCTATCTATCTATCACAGTCTCTTCATTTCATTATCTATCTATCTATCTATCTATCTATCTATCTATCTATCACAGTCTCTATTCTAATTATCTATCTATCTATCTATCTATCTATCTATCTATCACAGTCTCTTCATTATCTATCTATCTATCTATCTATCTATCTATCTATCTATCTATCTATCTATCTATCTATCAGTCTCTTCATCTATCTATCTATCTATATCTATCTATCTATCTATCTATCTATCTATCTATATCCAGACTCTTCATTATCTATCTATCTATCTATCTATCTATCTATCTATCTATCTATCTATCTATCTATCTATCACAGTCTCTTCATTATCTATCTATCTATCTATCTATCTATCTATCTATCTATCTATCTATCTATCACAGTCTCTTCATTATCTATCTATCTATCTATCTATCTATCTATCTATCTATCTATCTATCTATCTCATTCTGTTTTTATCAGTCTATCTGTATATCTATCTCAGTCTGATTTTTTATCTATCTCATTCTGTTTTTATAAACCTAAATTTAGAAACTACTGTCAACACAAAATTAAAAAAGGGTAAACTTCCTCGACATAACTTTAGACTTAATGAATAACATATTCAGAAAACCTAATACTAATCCCTTGTATGAACACCACAGGTCAAACCATACTCCCTCCATAATTAAGTAAATGCCCTCATCAATAAAGAAAAGAATAAGTATGAATTCCGTAAATGAAGGAATATTCTATAAACACAGTAATTTTTACTGATGCGACTACGTGTAACTTAACTCACACAGAAGGAAAGTGTTACTCGAAGCATTAAAAACAATTGATAGTGATACCTGACTGTTATCTTGTAGCCATCCGAGTCTGTGTAACTTACTTTGATTCAATAACTGACTTCGTTCCTTTGTCGATGCAAGGCAGGTTCTCTCCCTTATAAACCACATTGTAATCACTCATTTCGACTTGATTAATTGGATCCAGGGTCGTTTCTATCTTCATTTTTCGGACCATGTCAGCTGGAACATAAAACTGCGTCAACACGCGTTTCGATTGGCCTTTGACTATTTCTGGTACTGTGTCGTTTCCGGTAATGGCGCCGATAAAACTCGTCACATTGCTTAAAGGCTGCGTCGTCTGAAAAATAGAAATTAGTATTATTGTCTGTAGTCACTGAGTTCCACATTAGTATTTACTAGTGAATTTTTCCCTAAAGACAAAATCAGAACAAATCTCCAATTTGCTTCGAAATCCACCTAACTATTCTGGCTTATTATAGAAACTGGCTGAATTAGCCACGCCCTGTGTCACGGATTTTTTGTAAGATAATGTTGATTGATTTTAAATCATTGTTATAATTTCTGGAGAAAAAATGATGCATTTCAATATTACTCATTCATCTTTTGATGAGCAGATTTCAACATTGATATGACAGTTGAATTGTCGCAACAAATATGTATTGTAAGGCACTACCCACTGATTGGTGATTTCTTGCTCAACTTGACGTCCATATTGTCTCATTTTGATCTTGTCGATCTGACCTCCATCTTCTGGCTTTCTCCTCCTGTATTTTGAACAGGAGTCATTTCTTTCTTCAAATTTAAATTTAATTTAAATCAAAGGAAAAAAATCAATCAAGGTTATCCAAGTACCTTGAAATCTGTCGCTGCCGTTTAAAGAAGGTTTAGAACTCATTTTAATAATTAAAATAAACACTCCACAGAAATTCCATACCTAAGAGGATGAAAAAAAAGTTTCAAGAAACAAGTTTTGGCAATCATAAGCTACGTACTGGTAGACCAAAGTGAAGAATGTCTAGCATCAATAAATATTTAAAAATACATTTAAAATTTCACACAGACTTTATAAACCCTCTGTATTAGGGCCAGTGCAAGGGTCTCGCCTCCACGTGCACCCCCCGGAAACTATGATATAGCTCTCAGAATCTAGTGTAGCATCAGAGTAATTTTAAGGGCCTAATTTCCAAGTCCCCTCCCCTGTCAATGAGTACAAAGAGGACTGTAGGAGAGTTCTCTACGCACATCGGGGACGTTTCGTTTAGATAGAGAGGGTTTTGCGGATATGTGCAGTTCCGCACAGATTAATCCTTTTTAGCCTTGAGAATCTCCCTCCCCCAACTCTCTTTCTCTTTTTTCACCTTTGCAATCACATGGATATAATACTTGTGACTACATTCAAACCCATATTTGTAACATAACCTCCAATGAATAATGGGAACAAATTTATCATGCCTCCACTTCTTGTACTCATTCTGAGCTATGCACGTACATTCTGATACAACATGATTAACAGTCTCATCTCTCTCTTCCTCCTCAACACTATTATTTATTTTATCATATTATTGTTTTTTCTCCATCTCAAGTCACATTTCTCTCTCTCTCTCTCTCTCTCTCTTTATTAATAAAAAACAAGTGCTCCGATCCATACCATTGTAATACCAGTAGTATTCAACGTTGTTTTCAAATTGAAAGGAAACACTTTTGGTGTCTGGGATCCGAGTTTAACTTGAATTTCTAACGGATTCGTGGCAGTGACTCCGTCAGCAAGCTTAACCACCAGTTGCATCAATAAGGTCGTCTTGTCGAAGAAATAGCTGTCATGGACGGAGTCCGTTCCTAAAAGAATTTCAAAGAAAAAAAAATCATTTAAAATTACTTATTCCTTTATTTTATCATTATACCCGGGGTTTAATCACGAAAAAGAGTTTACACAACAAATATTGATTTTTTACAGAAATCTACTTCCTTGTTAAAGTACTTAATTCCATGAAACATATTATTCAGTTGCACAGATACATCAATAAGTCTATATTCTCATATATATTTCAATGTATTAATATATCCTAGAAATACTGATTCACCTGGCCTAGTAGATAAACTAAACACAGTTAAACATACAATAGAATTTACATTACAAATGGAAGAATACAATTCTTTACCTTTTCAAGATAACAAGTTACACTGCGTTCACAACAGTTTAAAACTTGGTGTTCACCGGAAATCAACCAACAAAACCTATCTAATAAATTTCCATTCTTAGCATAAGAACAAAATAAAACCCGGTATAATCTTTGGATTCTACTTAAGAACACTGAGAATTTGCAGCCCCCAGTATTTACACGAAGACGAGAAATACATTGAAAACACTTTTGTAGTGACATTAAAGATAGTAGCAGTAGAAGCTCTAAAATAGAACTTATCAGCAGCAGACGTCGAATATAAGAACATGTGAACGCTAAAGTAACTCTCTCTCTCTCCGAGTTTTTCCTTTTTCGAACTGCTAACATGAACTTTCTATGCTGAAGATAAAAGCACTGCGAATGCTACACACTAAAACACACCAACACAGTAAAGTCCGCTATAACACATTCATGAACATTTCCTTGTGTATGCAATGTACTTCTAACAAAAAAAATCTTGTTTTAAATTTTCATTTTGTTAGTTTTGTTTTAATAAATGCTATTTTGCATTGCAAATTAATTGGTTAGTAATTTTGTGCATGTATTCTTTTTCACCATCATTATTTCATGTACTATAAAATGTCCCCGTAAGAAACTTTACACATTTAATTATTGAAATAGTTAATCACTAAACTTCCAAGCTACTTCAGTAGCCTAATTATTTTATATTTAATGCGAAACAAAAGGCCCATAAAATATTCCAAAATAGAAAAATAGACCCAGACAAACCCAATGAATAAAAAAATGCCCTACCAACTAACACTATCACAACTATAATTGAAAAGAATTTATCTAAACTCAACATAAAATGTGTTACTACTACATCAAAAACAACAAAAGACTTCGTCAATACTATACAAAACAATAAGCTAAAACTTGAAGGAGGAATTTACTCGATCGCCTGTAATAACTGTTACAAAAATACATCGGAGAAACCTCAAGAAATCTAAATAAAAGGAAAATTTTACAAAACAATACATCAAATGCATTGGTTCCCCACTGTAACGAGACTGGCCACAATTTTGACATAAAAAATGCTACTCTGATCAAAATCGAAAACAATTCACTCCGACGTAAATGTTTAGAGAGTGCTTTGATCACAAGGTCATACACAGTAAATTTGAGCCTGGGCCCTTACGACATTTTACCATTCCTGGTAGACCATCCATTATGACAGTGTGGGATATCTACGAACAAAAGTGGTGGAAAGAAAAAGAATCTAAATGAAAATCGGCTAGATTAAAAAAAAAAAAATTAAAAATTTCCAGCATCCCTCATTCGTGTGCATGTGTAATCGCATAAACGTAACAAATTTAGTCTGATGAAGTCCTGACGAAATCTGTCACAAGAAAACGTTTGTCATGCATTTATCCCAATATTGTTCCTGCGATATACAAATATATATTGTTATCTCAAATATATATAAATAAATAAAAATATATATATATATATATATATATATATATATATATATATATATATATATATATATATATATAAAAGAAATATATATATATATATAAAGAAATATATATATATATAATAAAAAAAAAGAACAGTAAGATATATAATCCGGTGTTCTTATTGATATTTTTATTTTTACAAAACAGTGCTCAATGTAAATTTACAGAGCAATGCTGATGAGTCCAGTTCTTTCTGCATTCTGTTGAGGTGTCTTCTAGACTTGATGCATTACTTAATTATATATATATATATATATATATATATATATATATATATATATATATATATATATATATATGGGGAGGATTTCAAATTACTGTGCTTTATAAACTCACCAATATTTGTCACGGGCCCAAAGTTAATTCCGGCTTTTTTCAGCATATTGGAGTCAGGGATTTCAAGAATGTCCTTTTCTGGAACGATGCAGCCCAGACCACTCCCAACTGCAATTACCTTCAGTGTGCAAATTTGCAATGATGGCGACGTTGTTGAAGCATTGACAATCACTGATATGGAAGACAGAGGCGGGATTTTGATGCTGATATTGTAACCCGTGACATAACCTATCGGCTGGGAAGACACCGGAGACACTTCTACCACGTCAACTCGTTCTGTTCCACCCTGAAGCAATAAAAAAAAATCACAGCTATACAATATAGGTAACGGAGATTTTACAAATATACCTTTTACAAATATACATTATGAAATGGAGAAAGTCCGACAATTATTTTAAGACATTTTTATCTTTATACATTCTTTTTTATAGCTACAAGTATTTAAGTAAATGCTCTGTTTATAATAAACAGTATTAATAACATTTACCGGCCTGAATGTCCGGGAAATTTTCATAGAAAATATTCGTCCTCTGACAAGAATCAAACCTGTATCCTATACGGAACCGTCATATAGCCTGGCTTGCCTTAACCGATCGAGCCACGGAGGATCGTTCGATTAGCAAGGTCGATTTTCCTGCTTTTAAACTACAATTTTCCATGAATCTCTCATGTACATTCATATCTGCACAAAGCGTATCCAAATGTAAACAAATGACGTCACACATTATGAAACCGACAATTATTTTAAGACATTTTTATGTTTCTACATACTTTTATAGATACAAATATTTAAATAAATGCTCTGTTTAAAATAAACAGTATTAATAATATTTACCTGTCTGAATGTCCGAGAAATTTTCATAGAAATTTTCTGTGGCTCAATCGGTAAAAGCACGTCAGGTTATATGTCGGTTCCGTATAGGATACTGGTTCGATTCCCGTCGGTGGACGAATATTTTCTATGAAAATTTCTCGGACATTCGGTAAATGTTATTAATACTGTTTATTATAAACAGAGCATTTACTTAAATATTTGTATCTATAAAAAAAAATGTATAAACATAAAAATGTCTTAAAATATATATTTATGGGTTTATGGACAGCCAAATTGTACAATTCGTGTTACAGCATAATTATCGATCCCGCAAAATGTTTAATATCTATCTTTCGTAAAAAGAGGCTGTATTTGGCTTTTAAATCTGATTAAACCGTTCACTCGCCAGTAATTTACAATCGCCTGATGAGATGTGTTGTATGCGTATCGAAACACAACTGCAATTGTGTAGCGATTTTGACTTGTTTTCGCAGTAATATCCTAAAATAAAGAATATTGCACTACTTTGTATTGAGTCTTTTAAATTAAATGTTACGAACGTTGGAATTGTACTCTATTCATTCTAATCTTACCTGGAGATGAACTGAACCCTCTCGGTCACTGGCGTGTTTATTCAAAGAATAAATACACAAAAATTCACCTTCCTCTTCCGGGCACTGATAGCTCAGGACTAAAATTCCCGACTGATGCCAAATCCCAACTTGAGGCAATCGGGTGTCTAGCCACACAGATGAGCTGTGATACAGCGAAACAGACTGTCTGGATGACAATATATACGCTCCCTAAAAATTAATTTCGCTGGGAAGAATTTGACTGCTACTGCTGATAATGTAAAACTCTTCTCTGAATTGAGCTCTCTCGGTCACTGGCGTGATTATTCAAAAAATTAATACGCAAAATTTCGACCTCCTTTCTACCGGGCTACCAGGAGTAGAAACCCCGACTGATGCCAAATCAGTCGGGTTTTTCGATCCCTGCTTGAGGCAATCGGATGTCTAGCCACACTGATGAGCTGTGATACAGCGAAACAGTCCGTTTGTGGATGACAATATATATATATATATATATATTTGGTTGGATAGATGTGAGTTTGTGACCCTGGGTTTCACGCTTTAGCGATCGTCAGACAAACTGATTAATGTTTTAAAAAAATTTGGGTTTATGTAGATTGCGTGTATTGGTGTTATTGTGGAAGTGGTGGGGGAAATTTCGTCGTTTTGTCATTCATCGTACTAACGCAAACATCGATGTATGCAGACACATATACATACTTGGTCGTCCGTCGGGACTCATACATATATATAAACATATGTAGACAGTTTCGGCTATGACACATGTATGTATACGGGTGGTTTTATGTCTATACATACGCATTTGTATGTTGAAATGTTGAAATTTAAACATTGGAAGTGTGGCGGAAATGTCTCGTTAATGTCTCGTGACTGTATCCATGTCATATTACTTTTCACACACACACACACACACACACACACACATATATATATATATATATATATATATATATATATATATATATATATATATATATATAATGGACTCTCCTGTCGATTCCGTGATTTGCATTTCTTTCAGTTCAGTTTTAATGTTTATGTTTCGTATGAGACAAAAATCCTGCACGGGATTTGCAAACAAATCCACACGAAGGGCATAATGAAGGGTTGACCATTATATCGGCTGATGTATTAGCCCGAGATTTAGTGTTAATTCTTAATTCTCTCAGATGGTTGAAAACGATTCTTTTCAATGTTACTTTAGGTAGCAGGTATTTCTCCAGTTTGCACGGTTTTCAACAGTAAGTTCAAACTCTGTATCGGGATGTTTGTAGCAATTAAATTGTATTTAAGTTTATCCTTGAAGCCTAACCTAACATCTTTCATTGAATAATATAGACATATCATGTCTACTTGTTTTTATACTGATCCTTTAAATGTGATAAAAATACGACCGACCTCGCTCTATTATAGATAAAGATCAATATAAAAATAAGTAGACACAATATGTCTATATTATTCAATGAAACAAGTTTGAATTAAAATATGCTGCTTAAATATGCACACATATACTGGGTACCAACACGTAGGAACATCTTTTCTTTATTATCTGTGAATTTCCATGGCTTCTTGGAAAAGATAGTGAATTCATTTCTTATTTCTACCCCTAGGTTTTTCTTTTAGTTTCAAAATGTTCATGCTCCTAAATTGTCTACCACTGAATGCTAGATGCCCCAGTCTATCCTGCTATTTAAACAATAGCTGAAGAGGACAAAAGATGGCTGACTACCTTTCTCGGCGGAATTTGTACGAAAGGGAACGCAACTGTGTAGGCGGGAATTTGAACTCGACAAAAAGATTGCACTTTATGCGCCAGTAACCTTTTACGCTTTTAAGCCTTCATGAATCAACGATCTAACTTTTCAAAGCTGAAACATCACAACCTGCATCTTTCTTTATTCTCCATTATTAAAAAGCCTGTTGTTCTTTGTTAGTCAAAAGCTTGTTTATTCTTCTTTCCGAGTCATTCTCGAATAAGCAAGCATAATTAGAACAGAAATTCAGTTCAGTCGTTTTTTACATTTTTCCCAATGAATGTTGGTTAATAAACCTGTCAGAAAATCAATCGTCTTTTTAAATATTCATTCCCGTCATGTAATGTAAATCTATAAGTCGAACTGATGATTTTATGCGATCACAAGGAAATAACATTCTTTAGTCATTGTATGTTGATGGAAATGATCGCCTCCTTGGTCATAAGTGATATGATATGTCGGTGGAAATGATTGCCTCCTTGATCATATGTGATATGATATGTTGATGGAAATGATAGCTTCCTTGGTCATAAGTGATATGATATGTTGATGGAAATGATCGCTTCCTTGGTCATAAGTGATATGATATGTTGATGTAAATGATCGCCTCCTTGATCATAAGTGATATGATAAGTTGAAGTAAATGATCGCCTCCTTGATCATAAGTGATATGATATATTCATGGAATGATCGCCTCCTAGATCATAAGTGATATGATATGTTGATGGAAATGATCGCCTCCTTGATCATAAGTGATATGATATGTTGAAGGAAATCATCGCCTACTTGGTCATAAGTTATATAAGTTGATGGTAATGATCGCCTCCTTGATCAAACGTGATATATGTTGATGGAAATGATCGCTTCCTTGATCATAAGTGATATGATATGTTGATGGAAATGATCGCCTACTTAATCATAAGTGATATGATATGTTGATGGAAATGATCGCCTACTTAATCATAAGTGATATGATATGTTGATGGAAATGATCGCCTCCTTGATCATAAAAAAAAGCAGTATTTAATCCGAAAACACCGGCCGACATTTCTTTTCGACCCAAATCTTGTTGAGCAATGGCCACACGTTTCTGGGTTATTTTTTTACGCTGAATCTGAAAATCAAGTCCGTTTTTCCCATTGCATCAGGTTTTCTAAGTGCTGATAATTTTCTCTTTTTCTTAAAATAGGCAACAGTTATATGCCAGGGCCAAACAGAACCAACCTTAAACCTTAGAGTAACTTATGAAAGAAAAATTATCCCAATAACATAAAGAATGAATGTTCAGCATTTTCAGTTCAGAAAAAAAAAAATTCAGAAAAATCTCACACAAAATTAAATTAAGTGTCATCAATTTTTGAATCAAAACAAAGATACAAAGGAATGAAAAGTACATTCATTTTTGTCCAAAGATATAAATCTTCTCTTCTTGGAAACTCTACGGTGTTTTTGAAAAGGTTGATCTCTTTTAATGCTCCAGCAGAAATCAGCCATCATGTTGACATCCCATCTGCAAAGAGCCTAGTTGGCTGGTGTTTGGCGGCCATTTTAAACGCCTATAAAGAAAATTCTAATCTTGCTAGTCTCAAATACACTCGCCTCCTAACACCCTAACAACCCTCATTTATCGATATTCCTATGCATGTAATACAGAGACTGCATGACAATACCAGACCTCCGTAAATTCAAGTGATATGATAAAACCTTATGCCGTTTCCTGGCTTAAAGTGAAAACTCCTAATAAAAACTAAAATCGCTGTTCTTGAATGACTTCTAAAGAGCTTCTATAAAAAGAGAAGTAAAACACAAATCAAAAAGTTTTAACAAGCTAAGAACATGGAGGGCACAAGAACATTTTTCAGTGAGATATCTCTCATAAAATCAAGCATTTTCAGGTCAGATTATCTAAACTGAAATAGCTTAGAATTCATTTTAAAAGTTATTTGGATACTTTTTTCTTGAATGATAAATCATTTTAACATGAAACGAAATGTTTCAATTATGTCACTCGCATATTTCAGCCGTGGCATATCCCTGTGAATTAGGCTGAAACAGAGTCAACTGGGGATATAAAATGCAATGAAAGTTTATATTTACCGGCACTACATCGGCAACCTGCCCTCTTAATGTCCAGAGTGAATTTTGAAAGACAAGTATTGTTTTATTGTTATAATAAAGGCCGACGGTAACCCAGTCTTTGCTGTTGTTGCTATTTGCCGGATGATCTTCCATTCTCACAGTGATTAATAATGAAAGTCTGTTATCCACTTCATCGGGATATTCACGAGTCACGCAGAGATCAGTCATATTGACGAAAGCCTGGTCGTATTTATTGTCATCAGATCTGAAAAGCAAGAAAAAATATTAGAAGATGAGGCAGAGAAGTTCAAACACAATGACGCATATAAGTTCATCGCATAGAAGTTCAAACATAAGGACGCATAGATGTTCATCGCATAGCAGTTCAAACACAATGACGCATAGATGTTCATCGCATAGAAGTTAAAAAACAATGACTCATAGTAGTTCATCGCATGGAAGTTCAAACACAATGACGCATAGATGGCCATCGCATAGAAGTTAAAAAACAATGACGCATATAAGTTCATCGCATAGAAGTTCAAACATAAGGACGCATAGAAGTTCAAACACAATGACGCATAGATGTTCATCGCATAGAAGTTAAAAAACAATGACTCATAGTAGTTCATCGCATGGAAGTTCAAACACAATGAGGCATAGATGGCCATCACATAGAAGTTAAAAAACAATGACGCATATAAGTTCATCGCATAGAAGTTCAAACATAAGGACGCATAGAAGTTCATGGCATAGAAGTTCAAACACAATGACGCATAGATGTTCATCGCATAGAAGTTCAAACACAATGACGCATAGATGTTCATCGCATGAAAGTTCAAACACAATGACACATAGATGCTCAACGCATGGAAGTTCAAACACAAGAACTACGCAGCCGCTCTATTCATTGCGTAGACACAAAGAATTCTTTGTCGTAATTTTTAAATGGGGCAACTTTGTAGATTTCGAATTGATATAAATATTCATGTAGAGGTTGAGTTTCCTTTATCCGAAATTCCCAAATCCAAAAGTTTTTCAGGTGCAGAAAGGTTATAAGTTTGAAATATCTATTTGATACCAAATCAGGTAATACGTTGCATATATCTAACTACTTTATATCAGAATATGTGATAGGCTTGATATATGTAAGTACAGAACAGGTGATGTGTTTGATATAACTACTTTATACTAGAACAGCTGATACATTTTATATATCTAACTACTTGATACCAGAACAGGTGATATTTTATATATATATATAACTAATTGATATCAGAACAGGTGATACATAAGAATTATTAAACCACTTGAGACCAGAATAGCTGATAAGTTTGATATATAGAACTAAGTGATACCAGAATATGTGATAAGTTTGATATATCTAACTACTTGATATAAGAAAAGGCGATACATTTGATATATCTTTTTGATACCAAAACAGGTGATGTTATATATATATATATATATATATATATATATATATATATATATATATATATATACTTGATACCAGAACAGGTGATACTTCATATATATCTAATTGATATCAGAACATGTGATACGTTAGAATTATCAAACTACTTGATAGCAGAATAGGTGATACGTTTGATCTACAAATACTTGGTCCCTGAAGAGATTAATGATATAAAAAATTCTTGATATTTGGTCGCGTGATTCAAGAACACGTGATACGTTTCACATATCTAACCACTTGATACCAGTTTACGTAGCAGTCTTTTCTGTGTTTCTATCAAACTGTTCCTGTTTCTTAATACTTTGTTTCGCTTTGGGAAGGCATCTTATGCAATACCAATGCACCTTCGTATTTCTGTGTTACATTTTCCATTGTCAGAATGAGGGCGATCATGCCTCTCCACAACTTCCCATCCATCATCATTTTAAGTAATATTCAACCCCTTCCTGTGTCTTAGTGTTGGAATTTTTGGGTACCCTGGTGTACTAGTAAGCCAGCCAAAATGAGCTGACTCATTTTATAGTTCACCAATAGAAGGGTTAACCAATCAGAATGTTCAAAATATTCAATGTGACGTGTATAAAGGCGGCCATGTTTTCTTTCCCCGAATATTCACTGCCAGCCTTTGATATCGAAGACTGAAGAATTATGGAACAGCTGCTGGAGGTATTGGCGATATAGTCAGATTCAGTAGGGTGTCTGACTTGTGAGTGTTAATCTTTAGCGTTGTTTCATTAAACAGATTACGTACTGCGCTGTATTCTATATTCATAGACTATGGGGAACATGGTCAACAATTAGCACTTGCTGTTCCCCTCTAAACACTTTGCTTTCAGTAAATCTTGTGAGTGTCAAATTCCTCAAGCCTTCCTTCTTAATCATGTATCCCACAAATTTCAACCCTCTCAAAGTGTGTCTTTTTTATTTCTATTTTTCTTGAAACGTCCTTATTGCTTACATGTTCTCCCCATGGTATTTTCAACGTCCTTTCTTTTTGTTTTGATAACAAAAGTGTAATATCACTATTGCTTCAAGTCTCTTCTTCATCTTTGAGGAGATAGTCCAGCATTCGCTGCCATATAGGAGGACTGATATTACGTAACAGTTCAGTACACTTTTCTTTGTTTTTAACGAAGTTTTAAACCTAATGTTGTTCTTTCCTGTTGCTGTCACACTTGACTGCCCTCACCGCCACAGAATGTATAGCTGTCAGCAAAAGAGACATCCAACGTACGAGTTACATGTCGGGGATGTCAAAAATAAACATGTACGGAAATTTAACTATCTGGGTAGATAAAATGTAAAATGTGGCACAGAAATCCGAAAATGCTTAGGAACAGCGAAAGATGCCTTTCTGAAGCCAAACAAAGAATTAAAGGATCTGAAAATGTTTCTTTGTAATTTCCATGTTTGTTTATTTGTTTTTATTCATTTTGAAATATAACATTTAAATTTTATGCATTCATTTATAAATAAATTTAAAAAGTTTTTTCTTTGATCTGAAAAAGTGTAAAATATATAATTTGTAGACGGCTGCAATATTGTAAATATTATAGATCAGAGGGTCGGCCACCTACGGCACGCGTGCCACATGTGGCACGACAAGAAATTTTCAATGGCACGCAACCGCAAATGACATCACAAAGTCCGAACCAATAACTACTACAACACAAAGATATTTAGCTGTTTCAATTTTAATATATACTAAAGTATATATACTATATATTACTATATAAAATAATTGTAGTACAGGGACATCGAACTTGATTTGTATCAGGTCATCCCATAAGTTCTGTCCGAATTTTAAATAAAGAAAACAAGTGACCAAATGTTACATTTAATTACAGATTCAATCAACAATGTATTTTCCTTGATTATCTATGACTTCCTTCCATCTATTAACAAGCTTACTAATTCCATTACTGTAAAATTCTTTTGGCTTTGATTTGAAGGACTCCCAAATGTCAGTTTTAACCTCTTCCTGTGTTACAAAAGCTGTTTCTTCCAAATGATTCTGTAAGCTACGAAACAAATGGTAGTCTGAAGAAGCAAGATCGGGAGAATAAGGTGGATGAGGAATTTTCTCCCAACCGAGTTCGTATTTTTGTGACGTGATTCTTGCTGTGTGGGGTCGCGCATTGTCCTGATGAAACATCACCTCTTTTCGATTCACTAGAGCAGGTCTTTTTTTCCTCAAAGCTTGGTTCAAACGCTCTAATTGCTGACAGTATATTTGAGCATTAATTGTTGCATTAGGTGGTAAGAATTCAAAGTGGATTATTCCTTGGCGATCCCACCAGATTGAAAGAAGAACCTTTTGCCCATGAAGTTCCCTTCTCGGCTGTGGCTGGGGTCCTTCCCCTTTACCAAGCCACTGTCTACGACGCTTAACATTTCGATAAAAGATCCATTTTTCGTCGCCAGTCACAAGTCTATCAAAAAAAGGTGAAACAAATTGGCGAGAATGGAGAGAAGAGCAGATGTCAACTCGGGATTTGAGGTTGTTTTCAGACAATTCATGAGGCACCCATTTTCCAAGTTTAGGAACTTTTCCAAGTTGTTGAAGATGACGATGAACAGTTGTATGGTTTGAACTGAGAACCACTGCCAATTCCTCAACTGATAAAGCAGGATTTTCTTCAAGGGCTGCTTCAAGAAGCTTTTCATCAAACTCAACTGGACGTCCTGTTCGATCTTCATCTTCAAGGGTGAAATCTCCACCTCTTAATTTTGCAAACCATCTTCTGTAAGTTCTTTCATTCACACATTCCTCTCCATAAACTGAGTGAATGTTTCTAGCCGTTTCGGCTGCTGAGTTTCCTTTCTTGAACTCATAAAGCATTATGTGCCTCAAATGATTCTTGGATACTTCCATATTAGCAGGGTTTTAATCAAACAAAATTTAATTTTATTGTCCTCTAAAATAAAATTTGATCAATTTAAATGCATCTAAACGTAAAAATAATGTTCAGCTCGATTAGACATTATAAAATACTCTTTAAATTTCGTTCATTTTAACAAAAAGGTAAAATTCGGACAGAACTTATGGGATGACCTGATATAAAAGTACGTATGCTGTTGACACACTGAATGATTTTAAAACCTCAAGTCGGCACATGGTTAGCAAAATGTTTCCGGCCTCTGACATAGATAATCAGAACTCTTTTATTTGTTTCTAAGGACATCTTCCTGTTTCTGAATATTTTGTTTAGTTTTTCAAAGTCATCTGTTATAGCAGTTCCCAGATAATTAACTACTAGAAGAGGTTTGTACAAAGTCTTGACAGCCATCCTCTAAATAATTTAATAATTTACGATAGCAATGGCCAGTGTGAAGATTCATTATCTAAACGAAAAGAAATAGGAAATTAAGTTTTATTATTTAAACAAAAAGAAATGAAAAATCCAAACTATTTTACTATCTAATTTCTCCCATTAACAGAAATATACACATAATGATATTAATCATTTCACTTCATGTAAGGCAAAAAAGCAATACGGTTACTGAGTGTGAAAGAATAAGAAAAAGAAGAGCGAACAATAGAATGGTAATGAGTAAGGCAGTATATTAACGATTGACATTGTATTTCAATTTTTGAACATCAAAGTTGACTGGAAAGCAATATTCCGGAAGAGAGTTCCACAAGCGAGAAGTATGATTGAAGAAACTGTTCACATAGAACTTACGGTTGCATCTAGCCAATTCAACTGTAAACCTTTTTGCTAATCTTATACTGGGCTTACATTCATAAAGTCTAGGTACCATATCGATAAAATATGGATGATGGTAGTTGTAGAAAAGGCACAGAGAAGCTACATTAGGGGATATATATATATATATATATATATATATATATATATATATATATATATGAAAGATCCTCTATTATTATTATTATTATTATTATTATTGTTATCTTTTATTACCTTTTTAGCCAGTCTTCCCTGACGATCCGCTTAGGTGAAACCTTGGTAGGTTTGTCTGTCTCTTTAGGTTTAACTAGGTCTGCTCTATTTAGTGTATCGAGAACTTTATTTAGTTATTTTGCCTACTCGTATCGGGTTTTTTCTTTGGACTTTGGACTTGCATGCTAGACGATTACTTTCGGTTAACGTACGTGTTCTTGGTTCTTTCTTTTTTTATACCTTTTTTTCCCCTTTTGTATTGGTTTGATTATTTGGAAATCAAGACACCGAAGGTTTTCCGAACGAGTATAATTTCTTATACAGTGTAACCTGGATATAAGAGACCCGGATATAAGAGAAACCCGGATATAAGAGAGGTTTTCTCTGGTCCCAAATTAGAGCCTGTGTTACCTAAACAAAATAGACCAAACCCGGATATAGAGAAACCCGGATATAAGAGACTTCTTCTCCGGTCCCGACAACTCTCTTATATCCGGGTTACACTGTACTTATAAGATTATTACTACTAATATATATATATATATATATATATATATATATATATATATATATTCATACAATATCAATATATATATATATATATATATATATATATATATATATATATTAGAATGAATCATTCATACAAAAAGTAAATTAGTCAATGATATAAAATGGTGAAATCTCTTCACTAACAAAATTTTAAAGATGCATCAACCTACCAATCACTCGATGAATGTTATGATTCTTGTTTTTTAAAATTTATAAGCTGTATAAGGTCTTTCTTTAATACGCAAGTATATTAAGTCATCTTCAGACATGGAAATTATTTTGTTTTTGGTAAAATTCAGGTAGCATCCGAGACGAAAAAATATTATGTGAATCGAAATACGTTCTTTTTAAATGTGTTATTGATAATGGATCCAAACTTGGGGAGCGTGCAGTCACAACGCTAAGGTTGAATTCTTTTGAAAATTTAAGAGAGTACGTTTTTACTAATATGGCAATTTGCGGATCTTTTTCCCGTAGGAGTTTATCAGTCAATGTGGCATGAACTAAATTGTTCAATAAATAGAGTAATGTCTCAGTTGTTATCCCGAAGATTTGCACATCGGATCAGCTCTTTTAAATCTTTTTGGAAAGAATGATTCATTGTAATTTCAACTGAACTCCACACACATACATATATATATATATATATATATATATATATATATATATATATATATATATATATATATATATATATAGCCACTGTATTCGAGTATTTAAATGTTTGAAAGTATATATATATATATATATATATATATATATATATATATATATATAAAAAAAAAGCTTTTAAACAATTTTATTTTTTTTTATAATATCCTGACTCTGTCCTGGACATTGAGTTCTACCTGGATTCTATCCTCTTGGAATAATTTTTTTATACAAATATATATGTATGTGTATATATTTTGCATATTTACCAGTTTTACCTAATATTTTATACAGTGTATCCCGGATATAAGAGAGTTGTCGGGACCGGAGAAGAAGTCTCTTATATCGGGGTTTAAATTTATATAAAAGTTTGGTCTATTTTATATACATTAACACAGGCTCTAATTTGGGACCAGAGAAAATCTTTTTATATCCGGTTACATATATATATATATATATATATATATATATATATATATACACACACCCCTCTACTTAATATTTTTGTGTTTATACTGCAACTATGCTGATCAGATCTTAGTTACAGTTTCTGGGAAAAAACGTGTTATCAACAATTTAAGGCCTCGGCTAGCACCCACAAGATTTGGGTCAATCCGTGGTATGGTTTTCAAACACTTAAAAGCTAAAGATGCTGCACGTTCGATCTAGTTCAACCATAGTGGCATTCGAACCCACGTCTCACAATGCAAACGTTCTAACCACTCGGCCACGTGCCCATATACAAATAAGCAACATAGAAAGAAAAGAAAAGAAATATACCTTCAGTATATATACCTTCAATTAATTCAGTTCGAACTTGTAGACTCAATAGTTTAATTTGGGAATAATTAGTTTCCTCAAATCGAAAGGTTGACCTGCTACTCTTAGACTTCTGTTACTAAATACACAATTACTTTTCTATCCCTTAATTCAGCTTTCTAATGATCGTTCTCCAATATTTTGTCGGCCATCATCAGTTGTACAAAAGAACAATTAAAACTAAAAACTTACGACGAAACGAATTTTACATTCCTTTTGATGTCATCATCTTTGATGCAAGGGAGATTCCTTCCTATGTGGACGGCTCGAATACTACAAAATGTGTACTTGGTCCCCTGGCTGTCCGTTGGCGCAAGGGATTCGATATTCAAATTCGAGAAGAATGATCCAGGTATAAAGGTGACATTGACGAGCAGATCTGTACTAGCACCGACCAGCACGCTGCCGGATCCTTGGGCGTAATCGACGTTGTAGTCCGGAGTGATATTTGTCTGGAGGCGAGGAAAGCAAAAAATGACTTCAAACCTTAAATGATTTTGTAATTGCATTACTTATATTTTCTGCATGGATAATCTTGAATTTTTATATTTTCATTTAATTTCATTGTTGCATATAAAAATGTCAAAAGAAAAAAATGTATATATTAGCAGTCTGATCTCCCCTACGTACTAATAACGTATTTTCTATCTATTGATGCATGTAAAAATGTCAAAAGAAGCATAATACAAAAGAAAAGAAATAAAAATGAATATATTAGCAGTCTGATCTCCCCTACTTACTAATAACGTATTTTCTATCTATGGTTGCATGTACAAATATCAAAAGAAGCTTGATACAAAAGAAAGAAAAATGTATATATTAGCAGCCTGATTTCTCTACTTACTAATAACATATTTTCTATCTATTGTTGCATGTACAAATATCAAAAGAAGCTTGATACAAAAGAAAAGAAATAAAAATGTATATATTAGCAGCCTGATCTCCCCTACGTACTAATAACGTATTTTCTATCTATTGTTGCATGTGCAAATATCAAAATAAGCTTTATACAAAAGAAAAGAAATAAAAATGTATATATTAGCAGCCTGATCTCCCCTACGTACTAATAACATATTTTCTATCTATTGTTGCATGTACAGTTGTCAAATAAGCTTAATACAAAAAAGAAATAGAAACGTATATATTAGCAGTCTGATCTTCCCTACGTACTAATGATTTATTGATTCTTATGATAACATGTGGCAGGTTTGCGTATTGACGTCTGTAAGAATGTTGCCATGTAGACATAAGTCTGTTACTATAAGAATGGAATATCACATTACTAAGAAGCAGTGCAGAGGTGACTGATAAGACAATAAAATCTTATTGTGATTGATATCACAGAAGGTGTAATCTATTTGGTAAATATTCTTAAACGTTCTTTCATTATATATACAAATATCAGCACATATATATATATATATATATATATATATATATATATATGTGTGTGTGTGTGTGTGTGTGTGTGTGTGTGTATTATGCAATGGATTAAGTCCAACAGTTATTGAATGTTTTCTGTTTATACGTTATTTTAATAGATACAATTTATTTAAGTATTTTTTTAAGTTAACAGTATTAATTACATTTGCCGGCCTGAATCTTCGAGAAATTTTGTAGATTTGACAGGAATCGAACGTGTAACCTCAATGGAAACCATCATTTGGTCTGATGTGCTGTTAACCATTCAGCCACAAAGAAGCGTCAAGTTAGCAAAGTCAGAATTACTGTTTGTTAAAATAACGTACAAACAGAAAATATATTAAATAATTGTCGGACTTAATGCATTTCATAATATGTTGTCAATGTTTACGTTAAGGTACGTTTCCTGAGCAGATATGATCGTTCGGGAAAGATCGTCGAAGATTTATTGTTTATAAACAGTAATTCGGACGTTGCTAACCAGATGCGTTTTTGTGGCTGAATAGTTAACAGCACATCAGATCAAATGATCATTCCATTTGAGGATACAAGTTCGATTCCTGTCGGTGAAGCACACATTTTCTACGAAATTTCTCCAACATTCACGCTGATAAATGTAAGTACTACCGTTTATTTAAAAAAAAAAAAACAAAAAACAGTGGATTTACTTAAATAAATTGTATCTATTAAAATAACGTATAAACAGAAAAAATATACATTCTTATGTTTTATATTTACATATTCATTTATATAAAACATTGTATACCCTCCCTCATTTGAGAGTAAAATTATTTTTTACATTATTCTTCACCATTTAAACGACCTAAAAGTCACTGAAGATAGTTACGGAGTAAGATTTACAGTATCTGTCTATATTTCTGAGATGAGGTATTATGTACACTATTTACATTATTCGGACTATTGTCCTCATCTTTGTCGCCATATTTATTACAACGTTTCGACCCTTCAGTATCTGTCTATATTTCTGAGATGAGGTATTATGTACACTATTTACATTATTCGGACTATTCTCCTCATCTTTTTCGCCATATTTATTACAACATTTCGGCCGTTATACGCTCCGGCCTTCTTCAGGTTTTGGAATGTCGAACTGAACCCTTTATTTCGCTTGCTGGGGTAGACTGTTCTAGTTCCACATGCCATGTCTAATGGATGTCAGTTATCAGTTATCTCCTGTTAATTCCCCTCTCCAAGTTCTCCACAGCCTTAAACAGGTATTGAACTCACACTCTTTTGAGTCCTGTCACTGGATCTAACTAAGGCCTTTATCCGCAATGGTCAAAGGCGTTAGTTAGATCCAGTTAGTTAGTTATCTAACTGTGCCATCCTCGTCCTGGGTAAGACGATAAACTACATCCAACAGCAAGGCCTTTGATCAGGAGGTTTTGAGGAGCGTAGAACCGCCTTTTAATTGCTGGTGGCCCCAGGTCCACCCTGACCCGGGGTGGTAGCACGTGTTAGGGTCCCAGCTATGAGCAAATAGTTAAACCCGAACTGAAATCAAAACGCTATAAAAATTTTCAAAATAGATTTTAATACCAGCAATTAATTATTGTAAAAGATTATTACTAGCAATGAATTTTTGAAGGAAAAATTATTACCAGCAATACATTATTGAAAAATAATTTTTTAGTTTGAAGACTTATTACTCATTGCCATTGAAATGGATTCATAAATCGTAGTTATTACCAGCCATATTAGAAGCAATAAATATATTATATATATATATATATATATATATATATATATATATATATTTGTGTGTGTGTGTTTGTGTGTGTGTGTGTGTGTGTGTGTTAATCAAATATATATAAAAAATGGGAAAGAAAACGTTAGGTAAATAATTGAATTTTCTTTAGTATTTTTTGTTTTTAAAAAAAAAAAACAGTGCTCAATACTGAATCTTAAATTAAATTTAATTATTTTAAAAAATATGATGATTCCTCTTTACATAAGAGTTCTCATGTAAAAATCAGGAATACAAAAACCTCAGTATAATTATTAAAATTTTCCTAAATTTTCGCTTGAGGATTAAACAGGGTTTAATTCAATTTAATTTCAATAATTGTGTTGAATTTTTGAAACATGAGAACTAAAACTTAGTGAAGGAAAAAAAAAAATAATTATAATATATATATATATATATATATTATATATTTATTAATTATATTATATATTATATATAATTATATTATATATAATTATATTATATATAATTATTATATTATAATTATATATTATTAATTATATATTATATAATTAAATATATTATATTTTATTATAATAAATCATAATATTATTATTATAGTATTATTATATTATTATATATTATGATATAACTATATATTATAATATATTATAATAAATATAATAATTAAATATATTATAATTATCATAATTATTATATTGTTATATATTATTATATAATTATATATTATTATATACATACTATATATATATTATAATCATCATTATTATTATATCATTATATAATTATATAATTTTTTATATAAAATGACATATAATTATATTATAATTATATATAATATATATTATAAAAATATATTAATATATTAAAATATATTATAAAATAAAATAATAATAATATTAAATAAAATAAAGTAAAATATTAGCAGCAATAAAAAAATTGTCGACTTTAAATTTCCCAAAATTTGTTGGTATGCCGTAAAATTTTCTGAAATCAAACCAGTACAACAACCTCATTCCATTAATAATTCTTTTCAAGTTTGAAATTCTTATTCTTTGTTTTATTAGGCTTTTATTTAATAAATTTTTTTCATAAAACTCTGAAAATTATGCATTATAATTCGAAAATAAACACCACTACGTGAGTCGTATTGATTGAATACTTACCGGAAGTGTCATTGGAGCTGACGTAACAGTGACGTCATAAGCTTTCGGGAGCGTCTTCTGTTTTCCATAGTTGACGTTTGTCTTCACAGTGTACTTTTGGGCCGCTGTTTTCTTCAGGGGAGTCGATACAATCTGAACCTTTATCACATTAGTTGATTGATTTTTCTTCCCATCCATCATTCCGGTGTTTGTCACCCTTCCCAGGTCAAGACGAGTGTAAGATGGAACCGTTTCACCCGCCCGGGTCAAATATTTGGGCTCATCACGGCTGACGCACGCCACATTGTCACCGGTTTTGAGACTAAAAAATGACGGTTCAAAAAAATTTAAAATAAACTTTCCTCCTGAGTGGCAAATTAATTTAAAATTTTTGTATTTTCTATGGATAAATCGTATTTCTTCGTCTGAATATGTATATATATTAGGTGATAGAAGGTCAGTTTTCTTGACAATCGGAGTTTTGACATTAGCGGATACGGTCAGTGGAGTGGTCTGAAAAAAAAAAGACCGATGAATTATATTTATTTAGAAAAATACAAACCCGAAAAAAAAGGGGAGTGTGGTTTGTCATTAGTAATTGTACTATTCCTAGCTAGTCACGACCCATCCATTTTAACAATTGATACAAGCCCCATTGGAAGTCATCCTTCGCAATTCGGTTCAGACATGCACCAAAATATCGCGTTTTCATAACGGACCTAATAATACAGCCATGATATATACCACAAAAAGGTAATATTTATTTTATATACGGGATACTATGTTTATACGATTTCGTCAATGCCGTCAAAAATTATGGGCAATTAAAATTTGTTTTATGAAGTCATTAACTGCAGATATAAAGCCATCATCACTATGATATTAGTTTCCAGCCAAGTTTTTTTTCATGTTGGGGAACAGATGATAGTCAGAAGAATAAGGGAGATAATCAACCAATTCAAAACCAGATTCACGCGCTGCAGCTATTGAAACCAAGGACATGTCCGATGGAGCATTGTCCTGATGAAAAAGATGCTTAGTCGGTTTTCCTGTGCGTTTGATTTTGATAGCTTTTCGAAACTTCCCCAGCAATTTGGAATAGTGCTCTCCGTTGATGGTGTGGCCCTTTTGGAGATTGTCAATAAACACAATGTCTGTTGCATCCTTGGGGGAGGTGAAGGGTGGTGTTTCAAACTGCATGGATTGTTTCTTTGTCTCTGGCTCAAAATGATGAACTCAGTACTTATCCTGGGTTAGGAAACGTTCAAAGAAACCAGCTGGATCTGATTCAGATTTTCCCGTGATCTGATCAGCCTGGTGCGCTTTTGGTCAGGTGTCCTAAGACGTGCCACCTACCGAACAGAAACTTCCATCATGTCAAATTCACTGTGGAAATATTCTTTTTGTTCTCACGAACAAATAAATAGCATTGGTTATTTGATTTATTTACAAGTTTCACATGTAAAGAAGCACAATCAATATTTTCCTCGGTGGTGTCCATGCAGGACGTCCAGACTTTGAGTCAGCTTCAAGACTCTCACTTTCCCTCCTAAATTTATATTATTCTTTGGCATTTGTGGATAAAGTTGGACGTTGAAATTTTGATGAAACAACTATGTCAGCATGAAGGTCCTTGGGGCTAAAAAAATTTTTTTGCGTGTATTGATAACAAATTGATCTATTTTTTAAGAAAAGTCACTACGATTGAGAAACCTTTTGAAAACAAATTAGATTAGTGACTACTTTTGAAATGAAAAGTTTTAGTACTTTTCTGAAAAGTCATATTAAGAAATTTTGTTATACCTCTGAAATTGACACTATTAGGGAATGATACATCTGAAAAGTCATGATTTAAGTGACTACTTCCTGAAAAATCACTTTGTAATTATTTTATAGTATTTACAAAGTCGGATTATTGTCCTAATTAAAAAAAATTTTATTTATTCATAGACGTTATGCCGTTTACGCTCCGGCCTTTTCAGAAATTTTGGAATTTGAATCGAACCCTTTTATATTATTGAGAATATACACAATTTTCAAATTTGCTTTTCGTCTTTTGTTTCAATGAATGTCATTTATCAGTTATCTCCGAAATAATTTTTTTTTGGAATTTTCTCCACTGCATAAACCTTAAGTTTACGAATTTTTCCAATGGTGTTCCCTGTCTATGATCTCAACATGATCCCACAGGGGCGGTGATCTATATTCTCTCTCCATATGTGGTCAAATACGCCTGATTTTTCTACTTCCCATCGCGTTACAGCTTTTTGGTGTTCTTGAAAAAACCTTGAGGGGGCGGCCTGTCTCTCCTTTATATTCCTTTCCGCATTGCATGGGATAAAACACACAGTCTTTAGTCATGTTATTCTATGGGGGTCTAAAAATGTGAGAGATCAATGCGAAGTGAAAAACGCTTTTGAAGGTTGTCCTGAAAAAATATATGGACCGCAGATCCTTTGTATTTTTTTCTGATAACCCAAAAAACATAAGGCAACAGACTGTTTTCTGAGTGTTGTTTTCCTCCTCTAGATTTTCCTCTTGTACCCGCTTATCCCAGTTGTTGGAAACTTTAAATGTATAAGGGTAGTTGTTGCGTTGTAGGGTTTACATATACTGACCAATTCCTTTATCTAACGTCTCTGGATCGCCAAATGATGATTTTGCTCGGTGTTGATAAGCATCGGACGATATTTATTTTCTTTTTACGTTGTATGGATGGTGGGAGTTGAAATTGAGGTACTGTCCGGTGAATGTTGGTTTACGGTATACGGATGTATTTGAACCCATTCTCTGTTCGAGATATTAGTACATCCAGGAATGGGAGTGAGTTGTTACTTTTCTCTTTCTCCATTGTGAACTGTATCGAAGGTCTTATTGAGTTCACATGGTCCAGAAGAACCAGGACTTCTTCATAAATGTGGCCAGAGTATGAAAGTGATATCTACGTAAGTTTCCATATAGTTGGAGTGATATAGACTAATGCCATTTCTTCAAAGTATTCCATATATATATTCGCCATTGCTGGTGAAAGGAATATAAAGGAGAGACAGGCCCCCCCTCAAGGTAAGGCTTCAAGAACACCAGAAAGCTGTAACGCGAGGGAAGTAGAAAAATCAGGCGTGGCTGACCACATATGGAGAGAGAAGGAGATCACTGCCCCCTGTGGGATCATGTTGAGATCATAGACAGGGAACACCATTGGAAAAATTCGTAAACTTAAGGAATCAGCACATATGCTAGGCCACAAAAATCTCCTGAGCCGACCAAGCATAGAAATAAATACAATATGGGAACCAGTAATAAGGAGTGCCAGAGAAAAGCAATGATAACAAAGTTGCAATATGAACTCTGGTAAAGACATGCAATGATAACAGCAAAAATTGCAATATGAGCACTGGTAAAAATGATGCTGAAAACATTAGGTTTATAATATTCAGAAGTTCATACCCAGATGTCCTCAAGGACACATGGCACAGTGGATAAAGGCGTTGGTTAGATCCAGTGACAGACCCAAAGAAGGTGAGTTCAATTCCTGGTTAAGGCAGTGGAGAACTTTCAGAGGGAAAATTAGCAGGAGATAACTGATAACTGACATCCATCAAACATGGCACGTGGAATTAGAAAATAAAGGGTCTTCGGGGTTCTCGAAACGTTGTGATGGCCGAAATGGAACCACTGTACATAAAGTCCGACTAATGTAAATACTGTACAACTCATCTCAGGTTGTGACAATTTCTTGAAAAGTTGACTAATGAAAAAAAATGACTAATGTGAAAAGTGACTACTAGTCCGAAAAAGTCAATACTAGTGACTACTAGAAATGAAAAGACAAACGAGTGACTTGAAAAGTCAACTACTTTTGAAAAGAGGGTGAAAAAGTCACTACTAGTGGCTGAAAAGAAACGTTGAAAAAGTCACTACTAGTGACTACTGAAAAGTCACTACGAGGGGCTACTCGAAAAGTCACTACTAGTGACTGAAAAGTGTAAATGAGTGACTACTACTCTGAAAAGTCACTACGAGGGACTACTACTTTGAAAAGTCATACTAGTGACTACTACTCTGAAAAGTCACTACTAATGCTCTGAAAAAGTCACTACTAGGACTACTACTCTGAAAAGTCACTACGAGTGACTACTACTCTGAAAAGTCACAACGAGTGACTACTAATCTGAAAAGTCACTACGAGGACTACTAGTCTGAAAAGTCACTAAAAGTGACTACTACTCTGAAAAGTCACTACGAGGACTAATGCTTTGAAAAGTCACAACGAGTGACTGAGTGACTACTACTCTGAAAAGTCACTACTAGTCTGAAAAGTCACTACGAGGGACTACTACTCTGAAAAGTCACTACTAGTGATCTGAAAAGTGACTACTCTGAAAGTCACTACGAGTGACTACTACTCTGAAAAGTCACTATGAGGACTTACTTTGAAAAGTCACTAATGCTAGTGACTACTACTCTGAAAGGTCACTAATTACTGCTCTGAAAAGTCACTACTAGTGACTACTACTCTGAAAAGTCACGAGGACTATTGCTTTGAAAAAGACAACGAGTGACTACTAATCTGAAAAGTCATTACGAGGGACTACTAGTCTGAAAAAGTCACTACTAGTGACTACTACTCGAAAAGTGAAAACATTGAAAAGTCACTACTAGTGAGTATTACCTGAAAAGTCAAGGAGTGACTATTACCTGAAAAGTCACTACTAGTGACATCTGAAATTTCTGAAAAGTCACTACGAGTGACTACTAATCTAAAAATCACAACGAGTGACTACTACCTGAAAAGTCACTACTAGTGACTACTACTCTGAAAAGTCACTACGAGTGACTACTTATTCTGAAAAGTCACATGAGGGACTCTACTCTGAAAAGTGACAACGAGTGACTACTACTCTGAAAAAAAGTGACTACTACTGAAAAGTGACTACTATTCTGAAAAGTCACTACTAGTGACTACTACTCTGAAAAGTGACTACTAACGAAAAGTCACTAGTGACTACTACTCTGAAAAGTCACTCTGAAAAGTCACAACGAGTGACTAATACTCTGAAAAGTCAAAAGTGACTACTACTCTGAAAAGTCACTACTAGTGACTACTACTCTGAAAAGTCACTACTACTCTGAAAAGTCACTACGAGTGACTACTACTCTGAAAAGTCACAAAGAGTGACTACTACTCTGAAAAGTCACAACGAATGACTACTACTCTGAAAAGTCACTACGAGGGACTACTACTCTGAAAAGTCACTACTAGTGACTACTGCTCTGAAAAGTCACTACGAGTGACTACTGCTCTGAAAAAGTCACAACGAGTGACTACTACTCTGAAAATCACTACTAGTGACTACTACTCTGAAAAGTCACAACTAGTGACTACTACTCTGAAAAGTCACAACGAGTGACTACTACTCTGAAAAGTCACTACGAGGGACTACTACTCTGAAAAGTGACTACTACTCTGAAAAGTCAATGAGTGACTACTACTCTGAAAAGTCACAAAGAGT